ACACAGCAAACACACCTCCTGGGATGTTTCATGCAGGTAAAATGTAACTCAGAGTTAAAACTCGGATTTTTAACCTGAATCTTAGCGTACCCTAAGGTGACTCTCAGGATAAATGCATGTATCAGGGACAATTACGCTCCAGGGTAAATGTGGCATGGGAGCCTTTTGTAAATACTCATGCCTCTGTCCAAATTAAAGAAGCACGGCACCTTAGTGAATATTTGGTCTACCCTAAGTGGAAGAAATAGAAAATTCCTCCTATTCTCTCCAACTTTTTGGTGCCTATGAATATCAGTGCACAGAACTCACACCCAGTACTTTTAAAAGTATAAAGGATGATAACAAAGAGAAAAACAGTTTGTGTCTATCATTTCAATCTCCTAACAAAACTTTTGTACACAGTCAATGATTACTACATACAAATCCAAATGAAAGCACAATAAACCTGCCCTCAAAAAATATGCTGCAGCACGCAAAGCAACTTCTTTATAAACAGTACACTACCAAATGTAAATAAACTGAACTGGTTTTGAGGGAAAAAAAAGTCAATGCTGTTTCTCATCAATCTCAAAAAGATATACTTAATACTTCTGTACATAGCTCTCCATGTTAACAAGGTTGCTGAAACCTAGCAGGTAATAAAGAAAAGTACTTGGCTGTTTGATTAAAAGGAAGGAATGAAGTTACCGCCTTTAACAAGATCACAATCCAAGGACAGGGACTTGTAACATACTCATATACAAATTAGAATCAGTACCCAGGACTTTGTAGGCAAGCCCAAACACACATAAGCAATGGGAAACTATTGAAATACTTAATTGAATACTCTCTACTCTAACATATTACCAGCATTTAAGAGTATGCCTCGACATGACAACACAGTCATGAAATAAGCAATCTTTGAGTGCTTAGGAGGTCAGTTTCTAACTATGGTCTGAAGAAACAAGGCTCATAACAGGAATTACAAAACCAAGTGAGCTGGGTGGGGACTGATTGAAGTAAACTATATATTTTTTAAAAAGACACACTTGGGTGTATATAAAAGGGGCAGTACCTAGGCAGGTCTAGCTGATTGCTGCATATAGAAATCAGAACACAATGTTGTCACATGTCCCAATTTTTCAAGAGAAACTGAAATTCAGATTTGTTGATTCTTATTTTTAAAGGTGATAACTTTTTTAAAATGTTAAATATTGTGTGAGGTCCAGAAGGTACATCTACCAAGTCATGTTCTGCCCAAGGACTGAGAATTTACAACCTTGGGTTTAAAGCATAAAAGAATTAATTAGGTTACATGTATGAGACTGGAGGTGAGAGATGGCTCTGCAAAAAATATTAGGCATTGTTGGAGTGAAAGATTAGAATAGAAATGTAGTGCACGGCCAGTGTGGCTCAGTGGTTGAGCGTCAACCCATGCACCAAGAGGTCGCCGGTTTGATTCCCAGCCAGAGCACCAGGGCACATGCCCAGGTTGTGGGCCAAATCCCCAGTGGGAGACATGCAGGAGGCATCCAATTGATGTTTCTATCTCTCTCCCTCTCTCTCTCTAAAATCAATAAAGAAAAAAAAATTTTTTTAAAAAAAGGACTATCATAATTACAAATATGGATGGAGAAGATAGAGCTAACTGCTAATGTTCTTTGAAATCAAGAATAAAGTCCAAGAGTCCAAGATTGAGCTTCTCAAAGTCTGAGAGAAAGTCCCAGTTTAGTATAGCATCTGGTTCTAAAAGGACTCTCAATGATTTAACTGAGCTCAACATTCATGAATTGAGGACAATATGTATCAAATTAAAATTGAGAAGCTAGCTCTGCCTGGTTTGGCTCAGCAGTTAGAGTGTCAGCCCACAGATCGAAAGGTCTTGGCTTTGATTCCCAGTCAGGGGCATTCACCTGGGTTTCAGGTTAAATCCTCGTCCCCCGTTGGGTCATGCGAGAGGCAATTAATCAATGTGTCTCTCTCACATCAATGTTTCTTTCTCTCTCTCTCTCCCCCCCCCTCTCCCACCTCTCTTCCATTCTATCTTTTAAAAAAAATCAATTGAAAAATATCCTCGGGTGAGGATTAACAACAACAAAATAATTGAGAAGCAAAAGGATGGTTCTAAGAAGAAAAATTTAATTGGCAGGAATTTTTAAAGATTAAACTAAAGGAAAGGCCAAAGGCAAAGCAGCTGGTAGTGTTCATTGAACTAAATCAAGGAGAGAGAATGAATTTGGACAAAGACTTAAGCAATAACAAGTAACAGAAGATGGACGATACAGAGAACAAGCAGAAAGAATTGTGCAACTAAAAATTATGAGACAGGAAAAGAAGACAAAAGACTTTGCAGGGAATTTAATCTGAGTCACATTTATGCACTGAATTTCCTTAACTCTAATGCACATTTTAATGTTTCTGAAATCAGGATGATACTTACAATCAATGTCATTTCTCTATTCACCCTTCTCAAAAAGCAATTCTAGAAACCAATGATTCTTAAAATTAATGACATCTTTGAATCACAGAAACGTGAGATACAGAGTAGCTCTCCTTTCTGTGGAATGTAAAATAAATAAAAAACAATGGGAAGCAGCAGATTTGAAGTAGTCTAAAGGGTAAATGGTCCCAATCTGAAATGATGAGACCTCTAAAGGTAAAGAAAGAAAAATAGAAAGACCTGACCAACCCTAGAATATACCCAATAGGAGGCAGCTGGAAAAAGGAAATAGCAACCAGAGCCTTAAAAAATTAAGAATCTACCCAATAAGAAAGTATAGTACATAACTGTCAGCAAGAAACTGAACAGGATGACCACCATGATAAATGAATATTAAAGGGTATCTGAATTGAGAAACTCTGCTACAAGATCACCAACCTAACACCTAATATTTTTTTAAAGTCTTTTCCTGCCTTTGGTCCTGAGAGATTAATACAGTGAGGGAGAGTAAAAATAATCCATGGCCTATGTAAAGAATTAAAAGAAATATTTAGCATAACTTTCACATACCAAAGACTAATATTTAGGTACTGAGTAAACAGAGATGGATAAAATCACAGTGAGTCAGTTATGGCTGGCCTATTCCTAATGAAGTTATGAGGTTTTTCTTGTTTTCTTTAATAAGGAGACTGTGAACGCAAGAAGTAAAAAAAAACAAAATGCCAACCTAAAAGAAAGGTTAAGCCCTGGCTGGTCTGGCTCAGCGGTTAGAATATTGGCTTGCACACCAAAGGGTCCTGGGTTCAGTTTCCAGTCAAGGACACGGCCCCAGTCAGGGTTGTGCGGGAGGCAACCAATCAATATGTCTCTCTCGCATTGAAGTTTCTCTCTCTCTCTCTCTCTCTCTCTCTCTCTCTCTCTCTCTCTCTCTCTCTCCCCCCTCCCCTCCCCTCCCCTCCCCTCCCCTCCCCTCCCCTCCCCTTCCCTTCTATCTAAAAAATTAATGGAAAAATATCCTCAGGTGAGGATTAACAACAACAAGAAAAAAAGGTTGAGGTGAATAATAAAAAAAAAAAAAATTAAGAGTTTATAGTTCACTAGAGAATATAGCTAGTTGTTGGGGTGGGGGATGACTAGAATTGAAGAATGGGCAACAATATTACTTTTACAATATTTCTAATTTTAAAAAATATTACTAAATTCTAAATGCTCTCTCATAACTCTCATTTTACCCTACTCTACTACTTAGATAACAAGCACAGAATAACAAAGCAGAAAAAACACACCACTAGTCAGGAGGTTACCTATCTGGCAACCTCAAAACCCTGCTCTGCAGACAAAATAACTATGACAAAATCTATACCCTAAAGCTCATACCATTACACAGAACGGGCTTTCAGACATTTCTCACTCTTAAAACAAATGTAAACAGCCTTATAAAAGATTCCAAATAGCAAATAATATTAGGGGGAAGATATAGACAGCAAGTATACTTGATATCATTAAAGAGTGACAGCTAATATGGAAGCAAGAAAATAAACTATACAAAAGTCAACAACTTCAGTCCCACTGGTGTGGCTCAGTGGTTGAGCATTGACCCATGCACCAAGAGGTCACCAGTTCAATTCCTGGTCAAGGCACATGCCCAGGTTGTGGGCCCAATCCCCAGTGTGGGGCATGCAGGAGCGGCCAATCAATGTTCTCTCTCATCAATGTTTCTATCTCTCTCTCCCTCTCCCTTCTTCTCTCTCTAAAATCAATAAAGAAAAAAAACTTAAAAAGTCAACAACTTCAAATATAGCCACATCGAACCATTAAATGTAGAGGGCACATCACCCCATATACCTCAATAATCCTAAAGCATTACCAAACAATAACTATTTAGTTACCTTGAGTGCTCAAAAAAGTCTCTATTAGGTTCTGGACTACTGTGCACATACAATTTAAGATGGTCAAAACACTTTTAAAATCTCACATAAGGCATAACTACCTTGAAAACAAAATTATGGATTTTAAATTCCAGAACTAAAGCACAGACCAAATTTTTTGGCTTTACAAAACTTTAGGCACTGGTAGAAAAAGAGGCCCAAAACCAGAAAACAAAAATCTCTGAATAAAATGTCTGCATAAACAGGCAAAAGAACACAAAAAGGCAAGAAGATCTTAAGTATTGGCTCTGCCAGCTAGAGCCTCTGTCACCCTCCCCAACTTAACCTTTCAGAGTCTCAGGTTCTTCACCTGTAAAATGCAGATGCCACGACCACCTACAAGGCTATAGGCACTTTAAAAAAGTAATTAATTATCCAGAATGGATGGGAATGAGTGATGAAGAGAAAGCCTGATGTTCTAAAATACATCTTGGTGCTAAAAAAAAAAAAAGCATAATCAGCAAGCTTAAAATGAAAACAGCTTAAAAATAACTGCAAATCTTGTTTTGCATCTATACCCAAAGACTTAGTCATTGTATCTAGGTGGAAAATTCTAGTTGTACTTTGCAAAATGGACCTAGTTTCTTCAACATTATCAGACCTCATTATATAAAATTTCTCTTTAAATGAAAAAAAGGTGAGAGAACACTCACCTTGATGGAAAGTCTTCATTATCTGTGTTTGTCCGAGGACTTATGAGTAGATGACAAATTAAGGGGAAAACTAGGGAAAAAAAGAATGGTGTCTCATCTTTTAGTACAATCCCTTAGCTTGAAGGCCTACTTGGCTCTGACCAGCCTGGTAGCCTCAAACTCTACCAGCTCTGCTTGTCTGCTGCATCATCTTGCCCTTCAATTCCCCATGCTCCCAGCCCAAGGGACTCTTGTTTTTCTTCCTCTCAGTGGTAACACTGTCAGAAGGACTCCAAATCCCTTGGTGGCATAAAACCACCTCAGTCAACAAAGAAGTTTTAAAAATATATCAGTTCTCCCACTTCCACATTTCTTACAGCTGAGAGGATTAACTGGAGAGATCATTTAAAAGCTAAGAGGCTCTTAAGCATTTAGAGCGCATACTTCAAGGGTACAATTCTAAACATGAACAGTATCAAAGCTTTCCATTTCACTGATTAAAAGCATCAATAAGATGAAAAGGATATTGTTTCTTCTCTTCCTTTCCTCCTGAACTGTCCCGTTTCTCTTTCTTTTCTATCTTTTCTTTATCATGCCTGGACTCCTATAAGGAATGGTGGAATTAGTTGGGGAAGGGAAAACCAAATTAAAAAAATCAGCTCAAAATCCCTTTTCAATCACCCACCAGTCATTAATTTTTCTTCAAAAACTTATTTAATATGAAACTAAAAGCACAAGCAACAACAAAGAATTGGACTTCATCAAAAGTAAACACTTTCATGCATCAAGTAACACTACCAAGAAAGTGAAAAGATACAACCTACCAAATGGGAGAAAAATATTTGCAAATCATAGATCTCATAAGGGTCTAAGTATTAGACTATAAAAAGAATTCTTACAACTGAGCAAAAGACAGATAATCCAATTGAAATGGCCAGAGCCTCTGAGCAGATCTCTCCAAAGAGGATATACAAATGGCCAAAAAGCACATGAAAAGATGCTCAACATCATTAGCCATTAAAGAAATGCAAAATCAAAACCACAATGAGATGCCACTTCACACCCACTAGGATGGCTATATAATAAAAAAATTTTAATTTAAATTAAAAAAAAGAAAAAAATGTTGGCAAGAATGTAGAGAAACTGGCACCCTTATGCATTGCTGGTACAAATGTAAACTGTGCTGCCACTGTGGAAAACTGTTTGGTGGTTCCTCAAAAAGTTAAACATAGCATTACCATATAACCCAGAAATTCCACTCCTGGGTATACACACAAGAGATTTTAAAACATATACTTCATAGAAGCACACAAATGTTCATAGCAGCACTATTCACAATAGCCAAAAGGTGGAAAACACAAAAGTCCATCAAATGACAAATGGTCAACAAATGTGGTATATTCATATAATGAAACATTATTTAGCCATATAAAGAAATGAAGTACTGCATCATGCTACACCATGGAAGAATCTCAAAAACATTATGCTAAGTGAAAGAAGAAACAAAAGATTCCATTCATATGAAATATCAAAAATTGATAAATCCACAAAGACAGAAAGCAGATTAGTTTTTTTCCAGGAGACAAAGGAAGGGGAAAATGGGGAATGACTGCTTAATGGGTATGAAGTTTCCCTTTGGGGTGATGAAAATGTTTTGGAACTAGATAGAGATGATGATTGCACAACATTATAAATATACTAAATGCCACTGATTAGATACTTTAAAAATGGTTAATTTTATGTTATGTAAATTTTAAGTCAATTAAAAAAAATATTTAAATTGGTGCTCCCCTTTAAAGCACATAGAAAATTTTAGTGTCACCTTATAATTTTCTAAAACTGCTTTTAACAACTATAAATTTAATAACTATAAATATATAAAACAAATGTTTTGAATATACAACATAATAATGCTTTGTAATCACTTTACACTTTAGTAATGACTTGCTTACTTTATGACAGATGCATGAGATGTATTTTGAATATCATCCATTAGTATCTAAGAGAATGCACACTACACTTAATTTGAGAATCAAATACAAGTTGCAAACACATAAGGTTATTAGGAGAAAATGTTATAAAAATGTTTAGAATCACAGGTAAACATTTTTTTACTTTATGACCCGTAATGATCAGGGAGAATACATGTAACCATATCTTAATTTCATGAATAAAGAGAAATTTAAAAAAACATTGTTGGTGGAGAAAAAAGAAAACACAAAAAGAAAGGCTGAAACTCAATGAACAGAAATAGGTGGGAGTGGAATGGAGAGGAAAGGAATTTCAGAGAGAAACTAATTCTACCCTCCCAGTAATTTGGGACTGAACTGGCTGAAATTGCCCAGATAACCTGCCCTCCTCTAATGTCTCATCTTTCCAACTCAAATAATTAACAAAAGAATATCTGACTACAAAAGAACCTCAATACGTGCTAAATTTTCAGATTTAATTTTCTAAGAAAAGTACACTGCTCCTTTGTTTTCCTAATTTACCTTTTTGCCACTGGAGGAGATTTTATCCATCTTTTCAGATTTAAATGAATCACCACCTTTTTCTTTGCCTGAAGATTTTGACTTATTTTTTTCTTTGTCTTTCTCATTTGGATAAGGAGACTCACATGGACTTTCACTTTTGTGTTTTGAAACAGTCACTAAAATTATAAAAGAGAATCATGAAAGCCGTTTCCAATTAAATTTGACAGTTGATTCAAAAGTATTGATAAGTCTACCTACTTGTTCCATTTTCCTCTTTCCGCCTCTTGGTTAAGTCCGGTAGCACTTCACGGTCATTGTTTGAGTGATCCTAGAACCAAGAATTGTGAACTACATTGATCAGGAGTTTACGTTTTTGTTTTAAAGTATTACGTTTATACAAGAAGGGCACCGCATTGTAAAATATTTGTGGTAGTTTCACATACTTGTAAAATGACATGAAAAACAAGCAGAGCTTATAATCTTATAATCTTAAAATCCTTGTTAGGAGAGATTATTAGGCTAAAGATCTTTACTACTGTAGAAGATTCAAACACACTTTAGGGTAAAAATACCAGTTAAAACACTAAATAACAGATTGCCATGCAACACACTAGTACTTTAAAAATAGGCAACAAACATACTATTGTACATGATAATGAGCTTTGCAAACTAGTTTTAAAAAATTACAAACCCTTTTCCGCTCTTTCCTGTCCTTTTCATCTTTTTTCTCTCTTTCTCTGGATCTTTCCCTTGACTTGTCCAAATCTTTCTTGTCCATTTCTCTCTCCTTACTCTTGGACAGTGGTGAAGGAGTATGATTAAGGTAGAGCTGTTAAATTAAGGCAACATTACTAAAGATTATTAGTTTTCCAGTATTGGTATCATTTGCTTGATTGTTTATTAAATGAAAGACAATTGGTAGTTAGACCCAAAGTCAAAACTGGTCAGCTGTCTGGATTGCAAGAGGTAAAATAAAAGAGCATGGCACAAATTATGCACAAAGACTTCATTCTTGGCCTTATAAAATTTATCAGTTCATTCCTGCCTCGACTGAGTAAATTCATCAGTAAATTCACAAGCTACAGTTCCTTGTATAGCTCTATTGTGAAGACCTACAACCACCATTACAAGAGTCCATATGTGAAAAATAGTGGCTAGACTTTCTCTACTATAAAAAAAATTATAAGCCTCTACATAATCATGAAAATTTTAATAGTTTTACAATCTACTAACAGGCAATCAATGACAGTGAGCAAAAGTATAAAATAAAGCCTAGCCATGACTAATACGTTTTTTCTGCCTCAGAGTGCATCATGCATAGATTATCATAAATTATTTTTATAAATTTAAAGGCTACATAGTTTCCACTTCTAAAAGCACTCCAATTTCTATCAAATTATCACAACTAACTGTGAAATTTGTCTTACTAGTTCTAAATAACTCAGAAAACCATATAGTCAGCTGAGGATGATGAAACACCTCAAAGACTAAAAAATAATAAAACGATGTTCTCCTCTGCCTATTCTTTCTCTGCCAAAAGGCAATAAAACAGCCAAAGATCAAGGATTTGCTAACTCTAAATATCAGAGAGAAAACCTTACTTATGCAAGTTGCAAATACAGAAATCCATTATAAAGGAAATTACTACGGAAGTAATCAAATACCTAACCTTATATCATTTATAACTGCTATAAGCTTATGTTTAAGACATTAGAAGTATTAGGCAGCAGAATACTGAATATAACTCATTATATAACTACACAATTCTAGATATACCTTAGCAATGAAAAGAACAGTAAGTCAGAAGTCAAATATTTTTACACAATGAAATCCTTTGGTATTCAAAGGAAGACATGAAAAAAAGACAACCATCATCTTTTTTAGAAAGATCTTTTTTAAAAAAACCACATTTTTTAACACCAACAAATAATGTCAATTCAGCTGGCTCAGAAATAGTGCTATAACAATACAGAAGTAGATTCTTTAAAATGTCAGTGTTTAAAAGTTGGTGATCAACTGAAATAAACAAAATGTTCATTAATAACAAAGAGCAAGAGAATGAAAAACAGTCATAAAAGTGCTTGTGCAAAATGTACTCTTGCTAGGTATAATGCGCTAAATGACACTTCAAGATTTTCTATATACGAGGTGTATTCCTGTCTTGATATTACTCATAAAACTGATGACACAATGGAAATAATATATTACAATACTCGAAAAATATTTCTCTAAAGGAAGTATTGCTTAATTCTCCCAATAGAAGCAAAAAAATAGTTTTTTTGGTTACAAATAAGCATGCATGCACATGCACACACACACACACAAGAATGAGGTTTTTAACTGCACCTAACTTGAATTCTGTATTGCAAGAAATTGAGAAACCTAGAAATTTTTAGTTTAGAAATGTACTCAATTCTATTATTTCTTTCTACCCTTCTAAGAACAGTTCTGATCATCATACTCTTTTCTACAAAAACAAACTCTCGTAACCTATGGGATAAAATGGATACTCTTTAGCTTAGGTATTCCAAACTCTTCGCAATCTTTGCACAATTATATCCTCCTATGGAGTATCCAATGCACTATACTGTGGCTACCACTGCTCCCTGTCCTTCCAAGTTATGTTCATCAAAATGGTTGTTCACTTTTACCTTAATCTCTTAAAATCCTAAGTAGCTGTCGAAGATGGCTCAGAAGTGATCATCAGTTCTACTGTCTTTCAACTCCTCAATTCACTTTCTGGTAAACTTATATTAACCTTTTTGTGACAGGTATTACCTGTTAAATTCATGTCATTTATTTTTGTCTATAACATAGTTTCCAGTATTGTAGGGGAGCTAATGTGTCTTTTCTACTTTTACACACTTACTAGTGCCTTGTATACAAACAGTGAATACATGTCTGCCAAATAAAATTAATGATTTGTTAAATCGATCTGCATGAAGCACTGTTGAATTGTGTTTTTATTTGCTTTTACTTTTGACATTAGGATCATTAGGTCCGAAAACAATTTGATTGATTTTCAAAATCTGCTTAAGAGAACACCACTACATTGACTTTATGAAGGTTACAATATGTAAAGATGGCTTGGGTTTGGTTGTAAATCTTTGTTTTAAGATGGTAACAGAATTAAAAGCAGCATTCACTTTTGAGGTGGTTATTGCTACCCTCTAAATTACACAGAACCTCGGTTAAAGGAGCACATTTTTCACACATTCTTCATCAAATGCAGCTAGTAAGATTGCTAGGTAAAAACACAACTGACCAAAACTGGAAATATGCCAATTGAAAACTGAGGTGAAAGATGAACTGACAAACTCTTTGGATACTAAGCTAGATTTTTCTCCCTTTAACCAATCCTATTTGAAAAGCCAAGTCCATGTATTATGTGTTACCATGGATTAGCAAGTAAAAATAGTAAGTAATTCAATTTTTTTAAAAAGAGTATCCCAGGGCATAACTAAAAGATTAAACTAAAGCAGGGAAACAATTTTATATATACAAGTGACCAGAGAGCATGAAAAAATAGAAACATGTCTTTAGAGTCCTCTAAAAAGCAAAAACTACCCCAGGAATACTGAATATATATAGATCATTTATAGAGATCATTCAAAGTCCAGTAAATTTTTTTTTCTAAGACATTCATATGGTATTAAAATTCCCTAGACACATAAAAATGCAACATCAAACACTATGCAGACCAATAAACTTTGGATGCTTTACCAAAGTCCAAAGGCCTAAGAATTCATTTCATATATTTACTGAACACCAAATAATATTGCCAGGTACCATATAAAGCACTAAGAATCTGAAAAGTGGTATGAGTCACGTCATTTTTAGAAGTGTATTCATATGCCATTTTCAGAATTTTCTGGTTGGTTGTGGAATAAATCTATTGAATTTTAAATGCACAAAAAGTCACCATCTTTTTTTTTAAAAAAAAGAGAAGTGGTAGGAAGATTGGCTTAATTCATTATAAACTTAGAAAACAAGACAAATGCTACAGAAGTTGGGAACCCTGTCAACTATTGTTGAAATGGGTGCTAAGGATCAGGAACCATAATTTCTTTTCTTGCTATTTTTTTTCATTGTGGTAAGAATACCTGAGGAAACTTAACTGTAGTCTAAGTTTTGATACTGACAAGTTATATACCAGTGGGAAAGGATCAAGAACTTCTTCAGTCTCTTATTTGTCAAAAAGACACTAATATTTGCCCTATCTACCTCATAGCACTGTAATGAGCACGAAATGAGATAACATATGTTTCTCTCACATATGTTTTATTTTCAAAAGGCTTTCACAAATGTAAAGAACCATAATCTTCGTCATTGATTAGAAAATCCAGTTAACTATAACAGCAGATTTCAAACTGCTTCAAAATATTTTTCAGGAAATAAATATTCACAAGGTAACATTGTAAACCCATGAATTTAAAATAGCCCACACAAGCCACTGATGGTTAAACTGACATATACAATCCCAAACTGGTTATGAAAACCTAGTATATTGCAATACATATTTAATTTAGCCAATAAAAAGTTTTACTTTAAAAGAAAGCATTCACAGTACAGCTGATAGCTCTTTTGATTAATACAGTATATTCTGAAAACAATGCTACAATTTCAGGACACAGGCACATTGGCTAATCTAAACTGTTAAAAACTAATGCTTATTTGCCCAATATCCACAGACATTTCATTGTAAAGCTATAGATCTAAAAGCAATTAGTACTGTCAACTGGATTTGTTTCAAAATTTCACTTTGTATTGGTCCACCCGTAAGGAAGGAAGCATACTTAGCAGATATATAAGAGGAAGCAGAGTATCAAAGTAAAGAAGAGTACAAGTTTTATAATAATAAAGACAAAATAACATAAACAATGGACAATTCAACTACAATAATGAAATGAACTCTGTAATAAGATATACAAACTGCACATTATTTTTAGTAGCAGTACTACTCAGAAAGTAGAGTAATAGGCAAGAATAAATACGAACATGTAAACACAACCATCATGTTGAATATTTCCCTCCAGGAAAATTATTAGTTTACATTAACCATATTTCTTGATATTATGCTACAACTACCAAAAAGGTAGCTCAGCAGAAGCAATATAAAGAATTTTAGGAATTGAGATGGGCTCAAGTTTTTAGAATGGTTACGTGAATGCATCCAATTTATTTTTTGGTCTTTCAGGTTGTCTAAAAAAGTCAGAAAGCAGCCTGACAGATTTGTTTTAAGAAATTAAATAAGCCTACTCCCCAAAACAAACCAACAATGTCTTCTCCAAACCTCAATTTCCAGATTTTTGAAGCATAAAAGGGTAATGCATAACACAGCAAGCAAGATTATAGAAATGTTGCCACATTACACACATTTATAACAATCTCATTAAAAGGGACCATTGTCATCCATTGTTTCAGTTTGTGATAAGTATTTTTAATGGTTATCCTACTAGCTTACTGAATTTACTAGGGCAAATGTATCTACCAAATAAATGAAATAAAGAATTTTTTTTTGTTTTACTTAGGCATGATGATTTTAAAAGACTCAAACCTTTGCTGAAGACTCCTTGAGTTCGATGAGACTGTCCTGTAGAAAATGAATGGAGATGACAGGTGAGCTGGCATAGTTCTCAGAACCCAGAAGAACTTTGGGAAGTATGGCTGTAACCTGGAAATAAACCAGCTACTTCTTGTGAGGATAAATCTCATGATGTCATTATTACATGAATATCAACAATAAAAAATAAAAGCAAAACCATGTAATGGAATTGTAATGTTAAAAAACTAAATTATATGTACTCAATGTAACAAATAAAACTCTTTCTCTGCTCAGAATCTAAAAATAAATGTCAATGCCACATTTTTCATTACACTGCAAGATGTAGACTATAGGTAATGTTAAGAGGCTTGAGAAATCAAAATATATTTTTCCTACACAAAAAGTTTAAAATAGTGGAGGTCACTGTGGAAGAACAAAACTATCTTACATTTTCATAGTTTTTCTTTAATTGGGAGATTCAATTCTTACTTTACTGTGACTTGAACATAAATATACATTTTTTTTTATCCTAGCCAGAAAACTCAGTGGCATTATAGTAACAAGAAAACAAAATGTATTTTATAAAAGACTAATCACTTTTTTTTTTGCACAGTGCCTGTGATGGTGAATCTCATACCTCCCAGAATAAAACAAAAACAAAAACAAAAATAAAGCACTTAAAAGAAAGAAAAGGAAATCAATTACGGTATTCCACCACAGTGCTCTTGATGAAGAATTAATTAACTTACAGTTTTAAAAGTTCAACGTATTGCAATTTCAAAGATTCCATGAAATTAGATGACTTTAGAATTAAAATTAAATATGGAGCAAGGAATGGCTACCCTGAGTCTTCAAGAAGGCTACACCCACGATTTTGTGCTGCAGTTGAATGCCTGGGGTTTCTCTTTGCTTGGTGGTAGGACTGGATGCCACATCTGCTTTTATCGTAACGCAAGGTTCAACTTGTTGGGAACCCAGTGGGTATAAACAAACCTCCAAGAGAAGATACAACAGAAGCTGCATGCTCACTGAATATATACTACAGGAGAACTGATCACCAGGGAGACTTTAAAATGGAACTCCTTTCAAGATTCCTTCTTAGAAGGCATAAATCGGTATGATGCTCATCAAGAAGCTTGATGAATTCAGAGGTATCTTGTTTATCCTGTATCATCCAGGAAGTCTTCAGTGCTATATATTCTTCAATATTTATGCTGAAAAATAGGCTTCATTCTGCTGAAAAGATTCATTTGCTTGTAGCCACCATTGCACTCCAAAAAGACTGCTTAAAGCAGTGAGGCACTTCTGGGTAAAATTTCTCTTGCACTTTGAAACACTACAAAATTAGTGCTCAGTCCTTGAAGTTGTAACATTTTTATTACAAAAATACTCAATAGGAAAAAAAATATCAGTCCACCAATATGTAAAAAATTCATTTTCTAATGCAACATGAAACCTCCAGTGGCTCCAGTGAATACTTGGCACAAGACTTGAAGGAAGTCAGGACACGTATTCCAAACAGGTGAGCCTAACATGGACGCTGCCTTCCTCAGGCTATACTAACCTTTACTGTTGAGGAATGTGATGGAGAAGGGTGGGTATCAATTTTGCGGCGTTTTTGTTCTGTTGGGGAAAAAAGCAATAGTCACAATAATGCATACTTCCACTTTTTCCAAATACTTCAAAAAAAATCACCAACTTTTAAGGTCATCAAGTATTAGCTGCCCCAGTACAGTCCCTAGATAACTTGCCAAAACAAGGAGACAAAAAGCAACTATACATTTCAAAGATCAAAGGTAAACAAATATAAAGAAAGGCGAACTTGCCCCTTTCAGGCTCAGTAATATCTGATCGGGGAACAGGTGACTTCAAGGACCCAGAAACTGGTGTTTTATCTCCTCCTTTTACATTTTCCTTTGATTTCGTTTCCTTTGCTATATCTCTTTCTCTGGATGGCTCCTTCTCTCTTTCCTTTTCTTGAGTTGATTTTGATTCTACATTGGAGACAGTGGTCTTGAATTTCTCATCTTTAACTTTGTCTTCCTTCTTGAATTTTTCTTTCTCTTTGTCAGATTTAGGTGTTCTTTCCTTCGTCTCTCTTGCTTTTTCATCTTTATTTGGTCGCTCTTCCTTCGGTTTTTCTTTACCATCTTTACCAAGTATCCTGGCCTCTGGAGTAGTAGCTGGAGTCTTTTCTTTTTTCTCTTTTTCTTTCTCTTTTCCCTTTTCTTTATCATTTTCTTTAACAGTTTTGCTGCTTAAAAATAAAAAATATAATATTTTAAAATAAACTAATAAAATATATTTCATGGTTTAAATCATTAAGGGTTTTTTACTGACTTGAAAAATTATAGAACTAAGAATAGTCCTTTGAAAACTAAAGGACAACTTTTAGACAAGGATAAAGGAAGTACTTATCTATCCAATAAATAATAAATAACCAAATTTATAAATAGCATATTAAAAAGAATGATCAAATTGATGCCAGGCATACATTAATAACCTTTGAGGATTACAAGGTAACAATGAAAAATTATCCCACAAGCCAACCACGGGTATTACTGTCAGGAACTGGATTACTTGGCTGTATGGGCCACTGATTTAAATCAGTGTAGGCTTCTCTTGTATTAATTATCCTTATCCAGATTGTCCACAACACTCAAATCTCAAAATGTTTTCTTAACTTCACCACCTACTACCTTCCCCTGCACATCCCAACTCGGGAAAGAAAGTCAGTCTTAGCATTATACAAAACATAATGAGGACAGTAAGCACATCATCAAAATGTCAAAGTCCATCATAAACAACGTTCATAGTATTCAACTACTACCCTTTTCCATTCATGTCTAATGAGGTTAGTCATATAAGAATTCAGAATTTTAGAACTGGATATTAAAGTTTGCGTGCTAGGGGTGAATATTACTACTTGGTTTTCATTGTTTCTAGATATTTTTGGTGGAAATACATATTTCCATGGAGCTAGAAAATACATATTTCTTTTGATTTGAAAAAGAAAAATACATTATGAGTTTGTAAGTTGTATTCTGAAGTCAAATTTAAGATGAGAGGAATTTTATTTAACATATTTTATTTTATGTTCATTTTCTTTGCTATTACAGTAGAAGTTTTTGATTCCTAATATAAAAAAAAAAGAATTCAGAATTTTGACATAACAGTGTTTCTACCTGTTAGAGCCACTATTTCCATTGCTTGAATTGCCTTTCGGTGTGGCACCAGAAGCTTTATTAACAGCTTTCACACCACACTGAGATCTCTCCCTTGATTTATCTGAAATAAAGATAAGATTTTATTTGATAATTCCCTAAACATAAGTACACTACAATCTCATAGCAAAATGATTACAGATTAATTAGAAACAAAGGATTGATTACTTCTTGACAGTTACGTACTACTACCTAGGGAATAAAAAAGTAATTATAAGGCAGCATTTTCCCTGGCCAGTTTGGCTCAGCAGTCAGAGCATCAGCCCTTGGACCAAAGGGTCAAGGGTTCGATTCCCGGTCAAGGACACATAGCTGAGTTGCAGGTTCGATCCCTGACCCCAGTGGAGATCAGGCAGGAGACAACAAATCAATGTATCTCTCTCGCATCAATGTTTCTCTTTCTCTCTTTCCTCCCCATCCCACCCTTCCACTCTATCTAAAAATTAATGGAAAAATATCCTCAGGTGATGGTTAACAAAAGAAAAAAAAATAAGGCAGCATTTTACTTGTCATGTAATACAAAACATTTCAGTTTGTTGAAACAAAACATATTATTTACATATATCTACAAATAAACATACCATTCTCCTCAGCACTGCTTTCATCAGATTTAGATGCACTTCCTATCGACGATGAAGAAGACCCACCACCAGGCCCATTTTGTACACTGGCAACTGCATTCCTCGGAGGGGGGTCTTTGTGATGAAACTCATTTTCAGGTATCATGTATGACTTTCTACTTTTCAACTGCCCAGAGTAGCTGTAAGTCGCACAAAGTGTTTAAATATACAAATACAAATCAAAAAGCACAAACATGGGGTTTAAAAACATAAAATTAGCAAGGTAAATAAATATTTCAATGTAAACTAATCCTTAAACTAAGATGCCTTTTTTTTTTCACAACTGAAGATCTGATAACCCAACTGAAGATAAAATTACATTTCCTCCAAACCAGTACATATTATATATGACTTGTGAAATTATTGTCCAGTATAGACCGGAAGCTTATAATCGGAAGTGACAACTCTCACCAGCCTGTGGCAACATGATCGCATAATCTCCCATAATCTCCTGAAGTAAAGCAGAAGATAAACTTCAACACTGTAAAACATTTTAAAGTCTTCAGAATCCTTTTGTTATCTAGTCTCATAAATCACATTAAAGTATAATTGTGTTACCCCATAGCCAATGCATATAGATCAGGCCTCTTCTCTTTTTCTTCTTGGCAGATTTTATGCACTCTTCTTTCTAATGCCTGACCCAGATTCAAAACTTTTGGGTACCAAGGAAGTATTTTTGTTAGCACAATCAAAATATTCCTGATGTGAGTATATTCGCCTGTCTCAAGGCAATGTACCGATGCCTACAACAAATATTTTAAGATCCGTTATTATAAAAGTGTAAGTATGAAGAGGGGGAAAAAAAACACCTTTGAAAAAATACAATTTTTTTTTACCTTGGTTAGTTTGTAATGCCATTTATGTACAACATGCCGAAAATTTTCATAGTCTAATTGATCAGCTTTATTTCCACCATCAAATCCAGTTGCCCGTAATATAGTAAGAAATCCTGGATAATTTCCACATTCCTGAGAGAGGAAAAAAGGATGTTACTTTTAAAGAAAAATTCTGTCCCCTAAAGTAGCAGAGGATGAAACTTTAGAATAGATTAATGATTCTTTGTGAAAACATGATATGTATTTGAATGATAGGTAGTTTTCACAGAAAGGTTCAGTTTATTCAATGATTTGGAATGTTATCAGTTTGAAATAGGATAAAAATATATGGCACTTTTAATAATGGATGAATTATGCTTAAATTTAAAATATTGTTTTACAACTGAATCATTTTTTAAAATATATTTTTATTCATTTTTTTAGATAAAGAGGAAGGGAAAGGGGGACAAAGATAGAAACATTGATGAGAGAGAAACATTGATTGGCTGCCTCCTGCACACCCCATACGGGGGACCAAGCCCACAACCTGGGCATGTGCCCTGATTGGAAATTGAACCAGAAACCTCTTGGAGCATGGGACAATGCTCAATCCACTGAGCAACACCGGCTGGGCACAACGGAATCTTAAACTCAGCTTCCCTTTTAAAACCAAACAACCTAGAGTCTCCAGTCTGTGGGGGTAGTACTTTGGGAACGAGGTACCAGACCAGGTAGGGGAGGCACAAGAACCATTTGCCAGAATCCACAACTTTCGAATTCCAGAATGAATTTTTAAAAGATACCTAAACCATAAAATCAGAAAAATGGCAGCGGAGAGAATGGAAGCTACACAGACCATCTCCCAGGACCAAACTGGAATTACAATGAAAATAAAGACAAATTGTCAGGAAAAAGCAACAGAAAAGCAGCTTGGAGGACCATATAACCAGGGACACCGATTGAACCTGGTAGGCTTGCAGGGCACGAGAGGGGGGATGGGAGCCCACAGACAGCAGCGGCCTTAGCTGTGAGCAGGGTCTTCGGATAAAACTCCCAAGCGGCTCCACAGTGCAAAGCCGGGACAGAGGCTAAAATAGCCACAATCACATACCTTCGGCTCCGGCAGAGGGAGGGCGGACTGGACTGAAACTGTGTGGGGACACTCAGGATTTGGAGGGCGCTCAGGGCTTTTGCTGAGTTGAGGCCACACAAAAGGGTGGTCATCTTACTCCTTCCCAGGGTTCTGGGGATAAGCAGTGGCCCATCCCTCTGAGATTCAACCCCACCCGGTAGCCATTGAAATGCAAATGGGGCTCATTAACAATCAGCATGTGCCCCACACTCAGAAAATTCCCTTATGCTCAACATCTGAGGGAGTTTTTCATTCAACTGAGACTCCAAGCCTATTCAAGTAACCACTACTGATAGCCTCCAGGCAAAAAGCTAGAGGATAACTGTACTATTCCTGGGGTAGAAAGTCTAACCAGGAGAGTCACACTTGACAGTGGTGTTTAACCTGGGTACTCCCTGGCTCATCCACACCCAGGAGAGGGAGCCACAAACAGCAGAACACCAACACCCACAGGGAAAATTTGGCAGGCTCCAAAGACCACTGTGATAGCCAAAATGGGGAAACATAGAAACAAGAGCGAAATGAAAGAACAAGAGACCTCTACAGAAGATGAAATAAATGAGGTGCAGTTAAGCAAGTTAACAGAAATACAATTCAGAGGCATGATCTTGAGGAAGCTCAACAGCATGTGTAAGGACATGAGCACCATGAATAAAGACATAGAAATGTTGAACATCAACCAGTTGAAAATTAAAAGCCACCAAGAAGAAATGAAGTATGACATATCAGAAATAAAGAACACATTGGGAGGTCTAAACAGCAGAGTAGGGGAAGCGGAGGACCGGATCAGTGAATCAGAACACATGGTAGAAAAAAAATCAACCAATCAGAAAACCAAAAGGAAAAAACAATGAAAAAACAGGAAGAAAGCATAAGAGAACTGTGGGTCAAATGGAAACGTAATAATATTCGCATCATAGGAGTCTCCGAAGAAGAAAATGAGCAAGTTTTAGAGAATATATTTGAAGAAATAATGACAGAAAAGTTCCCTAATTTGGTGAAGGAAGAAGGCATTCAAGTTTAAGAAGCACAGACAGCCCCAAGCAAGAAAAACCCAAACAGGCCGACACCAAGACACATAGTAATCAAAATGCCAAAAATTAAAGACAAAGAGAGAATCCTAAAAGCAGCAACAAATAAACAACAAATTACCTCCAAAGGAACCTCCATAAGGTTCTCAGCTGACTTCTCATAAGAAACACTATAGGCCAAAAGGGAATGGCATGAGGCAATCAAAGTCATGAAAAACAAGGATCTGAATCCAAGACTACTCTACCCAGCAAGGCTATCATTCAAAATAGAAGGTCAAATAAAGAGCTTCCTAGACAAAAAAAAAAAAAAAAAAAAAGGCTAAGGGAATATATTAGCACCAAACCAGAACTACATAAATGTTAAAAGGACTGCTGTAACTAGCAGAAGAAATAGGAAGAAAAATAAAACCACATTAAACAAGAATGGCAATAAATAAGTACATATCAATAATCACCTTAATGTAAATGGAATAAATGCTCCGATAAAAAGACACAGAGTAGCTGATTGGATAAGAAAGCATTACTAATCGATATGTTGTTTACAAGAGACCCACCTCACTATAAAAGACTCACATAGGTTGAAAGTGAAGGGATGGAAAAAAGTCTTCCAAGCAATCGAAAAGCAAAAAAAAGCTGGATAGCAATACTCATATCTGATAAAATAGATTTCAAAATGAAGGCCATAACTAGAGACAAAGAAGGCCACTACATAATATGGAAAGGATCTATCCAACAGGAAGATATAACCTTGATAAACATATATGAACCCAATATAGGAGCACCAAAATATATTAAAAATCTTCTGGAAAACGTCAAAGGAGAAATCAATAGCAATACAATCATAGCAAGGGATTTCAACATCCCACTGACATCACTGGATAGATCCCCTAGACAAAAAATTAGCAAGGAAACAGAGAGTCTAAATAAAGCACTAGACCAAATGGATTTCATACATATCTACAGAGAATTACACCCCAAACCTACAGAATTCACATTCTTCTCAAGTGAACATGGGACATTCTCAAAGATACACCACATGTTAGGACACAAACTAAGTCTCCACAAGTTCAAGAACATAGAAATCATATCAAGCATCTCCTCAGATCACAATGGCATGAAACTAGAAATCAATTGCAACAAGAACATGCAAAGACATTGGAACACATGGAGGCTAAAGAGCATGTTATTAAACAATGAATGGGTTACCATGGAGATCAAGGAAGAAATTAAAAACTTCCTCGAAACCAATGAAAATGAAGACAAAACAACACAAAATCTATGGGATGCAGCAACAGCAGTTGTGAGAGGGAAGTTCATAGCACAACAGGCCTACCTCAAGAAGCAAGAATAATTTCTTATACACTATTTAACCTCACAACTTAAAGAATTAGAAAGCAAACAAAAAGAAAACCCCAGAGCAAGTAGAAGGAAGGAATGAGTAAAGATAAGAGCAGAAATAAATGACATAGAGTCCCAAAAAAGTATTCAAAGGATCAATAAAACAAAGAGCTGGTTTTTCAAAAAGATAAATAAGATTGATGGACTATTAGCTAGACTCACCAACAAAGAGAGAGAACCCAAATACACAAAATCAGAAATGAAAGAGGAGAAGTAACGACCGACACCACAGAAATACAAAAGATCATTAACAAATAGTATGAACAATTATATGGCAACAAATTCGACAAACTAAGCGAAATGGACAAATTTCTAGAAACACGGAGTCTCCCAAAAATGGACCAGGAAGAGATAAAAAAAAAAAAACTTGAACAGACCAATAACAACAGAAGAAACTAAAGATATAATCAAGACTCTTCCAGAAAACAAAAGCCCAGGCCTGGATGGCTTCACTGGGGAGTTTTACCAAACATTCAAAGAAGAACTAACACCCATTCTCCTCAAACTATTTCAAAAAATTCAAGAAGGAAGACTTCCAAACACGTTTTATAAGGCCAGCATAATTCTAATTCCAAAACCAGAAAAAGACACAACAAAGAAAGAAAACTACAGGCCAATATCCCTGATGAACATAGACACCAAAATCCTGAACAAAATACTACCAAATCGGATCCAGTAATACATGAAAAAATTATTCACCATCACCAAGTGGGATTCATTCCAGGGATGCAAGGCTGGTACAATATTCGCAAATCAATAAATGTGATACAGCACATAAAAAAAATAAAGAATAAAAACCACATGATCATATCAATGGATGCCAAAAAGCCTTCGACAAAATCTAGCATCCATTTCTGATACAAACGCTCAGCAAGCTGGAAATAGAGGGATCATATCTTGACATAATAAAGGCCACATACAAAAGACCTACAGCCAACATCATACTCAATGAGCAAAAATTAAAAGCATTTCCCTTAAAAACAGGAAAGAGAAAAAGATGCCCACTTTCACCGCTCTGATTTAACATAGTACTGGAAGGCTTAGCCACAGCAATCAGACAGGAAGAAAAAATAAAATGGATCCAAACTGGAAAGGAGGAAGTGAAACTGTCATGATTCACAGATGACATAATACTATACATAGAAAACCCCAAAGACTCCATCAAAAATTTAGTAGACTTAATAAATGAATTTCCCAAAGTGGCAGGATACAAAATTAAACGTCAAGAAATCGATGGCATTTTTCTACACCAATGATAAACTCACAGAAAGAAAAACGAAGAAAACAATCCCGTTCACCATTGCGACAAAGAAATTAAGATACCTAGAAATAAACTTAACCAATAAAATAAAGGACCTATTTGCAGAAAACTACAGGTCATTGAAAAAATAAATAGAGGAAGATATAAAAAAGTGAAAGCACATACCTTGTTCATGGATTGGAAGAATTAACATCATTAAAATGTCCATACTACCCAAAGCAATCTATAGATTCAATACAATCCCCATCAAAATACCAACAACATACTTCACAGAACTAGAACAAGTACTTCAAAAGTTCATATGGAACCAAAAAAGACCTCGAATAGCCACGGCAATCTTGAAAAAGAAGAACAAAGTAGGAGGGATCATATTACCACATTTCAGGTTATACTACATAGCCACTGTAATCAAAACAGCCTGGTTCTGGCACAAGAACAGGTATATATAGACCAGTGGAACAGAACTGAGAACCCAGAAATGGACCCAAGGCAATATGAACAATTAATATTTGACAAAGGTGGCAAGAGCATACAGTGGAGTTAAGACAGCCTCTTTAATAAATGGTGTTGGAAAAGTTGGACAGGTATATGCAAAAAAATAAAACTAGACCATCACCTTACACCCTACACAAGAATAAACTCAAAATAGATAAAAGACTTAAATGTGACTCATGAATCCATAAAAATCCTAGAAGAAACTGTAGGCAACAAAATTGCAGACATCATACGCAGCAAAATTTTAACTGGTACATCACTTAAGGCAACAGAAACAAAGGAGAAAATGAACACATTGGACTACATCAAACTCAAAAGCTTCTCCACAGCAAAAGATACAATCATCAAAATGGAAAGGCAACCCACTGTATGGAAGAGCATAATTGCCAATGACGTATCAGATAAGGGGTTAACTTCCAATATATATAGAGTGCTCATACAACTCAACAAAAGGAAGACAAAAATAAAATTAAAAAATGGGCAGAGGAACTAAATAGACACCTCTCCAAACAGGACATACAAATGGCTAAGAGACATATGAAGAAATGTTCAACATCACTAATCATCAGAGAGATACACATTAAAACAACAATGAGGTATCACCTCACACCTGCCAGAATGGCTGCTATCAACAAATCATCAAACAACAAGTGTTGGCGAGGGTGTGGAGAAAAGGGGACTCTAGTACACTGCTGGTGGGAATGCAGACTGGTGCAGCCACTGTGGAAAACACCATGGTGTTACCTCAAAAAATTAAAAATTGAACTTCCATTTGACCCAGTGATCCCACTTCTAGGAATATACTCAATGAGGCCTGAAACATCAATCAGAAAGAATATATGTACCCCCATGTTTGTAGCAGCACTATTTACAATAGCTAAAATCTGGAAACAGCCCAAATGTCCATCTGTAGACAAATGGATAAAAAAGTGGCGGTACATATACACAATGGAGTACTATGCGGCTGTAAGAAAGAAAGAACTCTTATCCTTTGAGATGACATGGAGGGACCTGGAAAGTATCATCTTACGCGAACAAGCCAAACAGAGAAAGACACATTATCATATGATCTCACTTATTTGTGGAATATGATGAGCATAACAGTCTGAGGAATGGGGTAGTCCCAGATATGTGGAAGTGGGATACAGACTGATAATCACCAGAAGAGGGGGCTGTAGGGGAGAGATAAACCACAGAACTTATATGCACGTGTGCACGAACAATGGACATGGACAACAAAGCTGGGACAGGGCGGGGAGGGAGAAGGAGGGGGGAATCAATGGGGGAAAAAGAAGAAACATCTGTAACAAACATAAATTAATTTATTAAATAAAAACAAACAAACAACCTAGAGATTACTGGAAGTGGTCATTATATGCATGAGTAAAATATAATCATATTTATTAGTCATACCTTTTCATATGTGGCTCTATCACTGTGCCACCTGGTTACAGTCTCTAACATGCAACAAAGAAATCTCCCGTATCGACTAGCTTCATTTTCAGTACAGCTTGCAACTGTGTAAATTATGTCAGAGAAAACCTAAAGGAAAAAAATGTTTGAAAAATAAAAACAAATCAAGGTCAAAATTAGTTTGAAATACCAAAAGATCATGTTATAGCAAATCATAACAAACCAAACAAGTAAGTTTAGTCAAAATCTATCTTCCCTTTCTATCTATATTCACAAACGCAGAGACCTTTAAAGATTTTGGCTTTCGTGGGGAAACAGCACATTCATAAAGCAACAACAACAAAACTTTTATAAAGAAACGCGATTTACTATGACAGAAAAAGAAAGATAACATTATTATTATTATTATTATATCATAACTTCTTTAATAAAAACTTAGCCATAGATATAACTGGAGTTAGGGGGACAGTAAGTAGAGGCAAATCTGATAGAAACCAGAAATAGACAGTGACATGCTGTAACATATATTACATTTTAAACCACAAAATGCAGTAATTTAGTAAGAAAAAGGCCAGATGCAAAAATATGTGGATGTGACCATACTGAAAAGCACCCCTGCTTTTATGTATGTGCAAAGTTTAAGCTTTTTTGTTGGGTTTTAGGGGGTGAACATTAAAAACGCAGAAAAGTTCTACCTATTACGGCAAACATATAAACCCAAATATTTAGTTAACAGATTAACTAGGGGTGCTATTACATATCGGGCACTTTTCAAAGTGCTTTTGTTTGTAGTGACTCAATTAATCCTCAAAGCAATCTTATGAAGCAGGTACTATTATCCCATTTCACAATAAGAAAACTGAGGCACAGAGAGGTTAAAAAACTTGCCAAAGATCATGTAGCTAGAAAGTAGCAGAGATAGGATTCAAGTTCAGGCACTTGGCTCTTGAGTTCATGCTTTTAACTACACACACAACAATACCTCTATAGATTATAATGTTTAGCTATCTTTGCGTGAGACTTGCTTTTAAAGGTTGCAATAAAAAGAACTTACTCGATCATAGCAAAGAAGTGTGGAAAAATTTGGAGTTTTCTGTTCATGTACCAATTCAACAAAACGAGCACAGTAAACAGCATCAATTGCTGAAAAAATACATCGAGGAAATATACACAGCTGTAGAAATTTTGTGATGGTCTCATTTTTAGTAGATTCTAAAAATAAGGGAAGAATATATTAAGTGGTAAACTTCTTCCTCAAGTGCCTCAAGGCCACTAAACTTAACAACATATTAACTTTAGTGTAGAGAATGATATAAAACCACAAACTATTTATAGTTTGTAACCAAAAGGTCATGACTAAAATAAGACTTTGTGGACACTTTTTTATATATAATTTCTCCAGAAATATGATTTTCTATAGAAAAGTTAAATGATACCTGCCGACTGTAATTATATGCTAATTAATTTTACCAGCAAACTAAATCAGTTCCTTCAGTGAGCATGTGAAGCTGACTCTGCATTAATGAATAACAAAAGAATGGGACAGTGAACAGAGTTGAAATACAAACATATAATACATTTCAACACCTCCAGTTATAAAGGTTTGCTTTTGTAATTTAGCAGCAGAGATGTTAACAATTCCAACAACATACTTGCTAAAAGCCAGTTGTCCTTTTCCAGTTTCAGTCTCTGTAGAACTCGCTGTACATGTTCCATCTGTTTCTTTTCTTCTTCAAGAAGCTTGTCCTGAAGGGCAGTACAGCGCTCCTTCTCTTTTTTCTTCTTATTTGGAGGCTACAAAGTATAAGTTAGATATTTTTCTAACTATAGACACATTGCCTCCCTTTCTTTTAATCAAAATTTTCAAAAACTGATTAACTGCTGATATTTTATATTCATTACTTCAACAGAAGTTGTTTAGGAGTCTATTAATATGTGCTTTCATCTCCATTTAACAAATTCAAGACAAAGCCATTCAGTCTTTGTACACCATCAAAACAGGCTACCTTCTCAACACTGGTATTTTTATTCTGAGGCATTGAGTCATCTTTGACTCTTCTTTCTCCTTCATTCTAATACCACAAGAGTTTACTAGTCTTGTGTATTCCCAGAAGCTCCACCATAGTCTATGCTCTTAGCACTTCACAATAAATTACTCAAAAAGCCACCTGGCTGATCACCAGCCTAATAGTAGTCCCTTCCCCTATCAAATGCATCCCTCATACCATTGTCATGAGTAATCTTTCTAAAGTAGCATTTTTAGCATTATCAAGTCCCTCCTCAGAAATCTAAAATAACCCTCAATTTTATCATGTCCTCTTTTCACTATTAACATTCACTATTCTCTCTATATATACTGGTCTCATCTTATCCACTCAAATTTATCACTAAGCCCATATGCTACATTAAAAGTGGTCTCCTTACACTCTGGACTACTTCACACCTTTGCTGGAGCTCTAGGGTTGCTAATATACCTCCGTATTTTCTTTTTGTTTTTTAACTTATCTTTTTGTTGAATCTATTACAGATGCCCTCCCTTTTTCCCCAATGACCCCTTCCTCCACACTCCTGTCTGTGTCTATTGGTTATGCATATATGCATATAAGTTATTTGGTTTATCTCGTCCCGTCCACTGCCCCCCCTTCCCTTTAAAGTACATCAGTCTAACAACCAATCTGTACCTCTTAATCCCTTCACCTTTTTTGCCCATCCCCCTAACCTCCCTCCCATCTGGCAACTATCAAAAAGTTCTCTGCATCTATGAATCTGTTTCTATTCTGCTTGTTCCTTTTGTTTGTACATTCAATTGTTGATAGATATATACTTATTGCCATTTATTTTTCACATTTTTTAAATCTTCTTTTTCAAGAAGACCCTTCAACATTTCATATAATACTAGTTTGGTGGTGATGAACTCCTTTAGCTTTTTCTTATCTGGGAAACTATATGTCCATCAATTCTAAATGATGGCTTTTCAGGACAGAGTAATCTTGTTGTAGGTACTTCCTTTTCATCACTTTGAATATTTCTTGCCACTCCCTTCTGGCCTGCAAAGATTCTTTTGAGAAATCAACTGACAGTCTTATGGGATCTCCCTTGCAGGTAACTAATTGCTCTTCTCTTGCTGATTTTAAGGTTCTCTCTTTAACTTTTTGCACTTTGATTATGATGTGTCTTAGTGTGGGCCTCTTTGGGTAAACCTTGTTTGGTACTCTATGCTTCCTGGACTTGTATATCTGTTTCCTTCACCAAGATAGGGAAGTTTTCTGTCATTTTTTCAAATAGGTTTTCAATTTCTTGCTTTCTCTCTTCTCCTTCTGGCAGCCCTATGATGGGAATGCTGGTAGGCTTGAAGTTGTCCCAGAGGCTCCTTACACTATCCTCAGTTTCTTTTATCTCTTTTTTTGTTTTTGTTGTTCTGATTGGGTATTTTTTGCTTCCTTATATTCCAAAATGATGGCTTGCTTCTTAGTTTAATCTACTCTACTATTGATTCCCTATCAATTATTATTTATTTCAGTTAGTGCATCCTTCATTTCTGACTGGTCCTTTTTTATGCTCTTGAGCTCCTAAGTTTATTGAGCACCCTCTTCAGCAGTGTTTTGAACTCTGCATCTGTTAGATTGCTTATCTCCATTTCGTGCAGTTCTTTTCCTGGAGTTTTGTTCTGTTCTTTCATTCGAGACATGTTTCTCTGTCTCATTTTGGCTGCCTCCCTGTGTTTGTTTCAATGTATTCAGTAGAGTTGCTCTGTCTCCTAGGCTTTGTAGGGTGGCCTATTGTAGTAGGTGTCCTGTAGATTCCAGTGGCATAGCCTCCCTGATCACCCCAGTTGAGCCCTCAAGGTGACCCTTTTGTAGACTGCACATCCTTCTGTTATCATTGAGACTTGATTGCTGCTGGCACGTCAATAAACGGGATTTACTCAGGCTGATAAGCTGCAAGGACTGGCTGTGCCCACTGACAGCACTGACTTCTGACTACCATGGAGAATTAGCTGTGCAGGGACCCACAACACAGAGCAAGACTTACTTCAGCAGGGCTCTGGTACCCACTGAGTCCACTACTTGAGTATGCTGCTTGTGGAAGTAGTTGGGTGGTAGTGCTGTGACATGGTCTGAAGCTGTCCACTGGGTGTGATGGCTCTGGGGCAAAGTCAGCCACTGCCTGTGTTCTAACCAGGGCTACCAAGCAAAAGCTACAAAGCAATCTGCAGATGGTTGCTTCTTGCACTGGGCTTAGAGGTGCCCAGGCAACGCCAAGTTGTAAACGAAGGCTGGCTGCTTCAAGGGCCAGGTCTGAGGCCACTCAGTGAGAGGTATGAGGCTTACTTAAGGCAGACACTGCTTTTTTAATAGAATTTAGGAAAATCTGAAGCAGGAGCCAAAACAGGCCAATCCTATGGTAGAGCCACTGGAAACAGCTTGGATGGGCCTGAAAGTTGGGTGGAGCAAGACCTCAGGGAATCACCAGGGCAGAACAGTGTAAGCCAGGTTGCTGGAGTCCCAGATATGTGGGCCATCTGCATGCCCCAAGGGGGAAGGGTTCACCAAAGGAACAATAGCTCCACCAGTACAACTGTCCAGGAGAAAGCCGCCCCTCCAGCTCTCACTCTGATGCCATACAACTCAGTTCTTCCCCGTATGTCTCTGGTGCCTTTCAAGCTGTCTCCCCGAAGCTGGAGCCTGGAGGGTGTGAGTCTGAGTAAGTGCATGCATGGGCCCTTTAAGTGAAACTGCCTAGGGCTCCAGCAGCCTCAATCCCAGCTGGTTTTTACAGCCAGAAGTTACAGGGACTTCTCTTCCTGGCACTGGAAACCTGAGTTAGGGGACCTGGCATGGGACATGGACCCCTCACTCCTCAGATAGGACCTTCACAGTGAGATATCCCTCCTGATTTTTATCCGCCACACATGGGTGTGGAATTAGTCTGTCCACACCTCCTCCCCTCTTACCAGTCTGGATGATGTGGCTTCTTTTTAAATTTTGTAGTTGTAGGACTTCCATTCAGCTCGATTTAAGGTGGTTTTGAATGATGGTTGTTCTATAGTTTAGTTGTAATTTTGATGTGATTGTGGGAGGAGGCAAATACCGCATTTACCTACATGCCATCTTGACTGGAAGTCTGCCTCTATATTTTCAAACCTAATCTCTTTAAGTTCTACCCAGCTCAAGACTCATCTCTTCAATAAAGCCTTCTCCTAAAGAGTTCTCCTTTTTGGAATTCCCATTGCCCTTGCAACTGGAGTGACACAGATCATTTTAAGTTGTTAATACAGCCTTCAGTATAAAAGCAAACTCAAATACCTTTTTAATGATCAAAACTTCCACATATTCACCAAGCCCCCGTCCCCAACCACTGAGAGGTCACCATTAAACCCACTTAGGACAATATTATATAGCAATAGGATTGTAGCTTTAAGGAATCCAAGCTAACACAATTTCAAAGTATGGGTAATGCTAAATTGATACCATAAAATTATTGTACTTGAGCTACTAGAACAAAAACCTACCATTTCCTGATTGTCATCAATGGCTTTCATCTGGACTTTAAGTTTACTGACTTCCCGTTCATAGCTGGTGTGTGGAACTGCAAGGTCATACATTGTCAATGACCAGAATGTGGCATAGAATTGAGGGCTGATGTCATCCCAGACTTTGGAAACATGTAAGGAGACCACTGCTTCATGGACAGGGGCCATCACCATTTCACATGATGTAATGTACTTGTGAACTTTATGTTGTTGCTTACTTCCCTTTTCTGATTTTTTAAGTTCATCATACTTGGACTGAAAATAAAAGTAAACACACACACAACTTAATTTATAGCATTGACTTTCACGGTATAAAAATCTATGCTCCTTTTTCAAAAATCAGATGACCAATCAAAACTGTTGTAGGAATTCTAGTTTCTTACCAAATTTTTCTAATTTTATTTTAAGATAAATCATTCCTGAAAGCTATTCTAATCTGTAGTCCTATATGCTCACTAGCAGCTTTTCAGAAGATTCTTATTCAATCTGACCTGTTGAGTAGGTGAACAGGGTATGTGTGCCCCTAGTCCATTCCCCTTAATCTATTCTCTTACTGCTGCATCATGTACTGGACATGTAGTGTTTCCACTCCTGCTTTTGAGATATCCGAGTATAGAAGGTGTTAACACTAAGAGACAGGATGAAACTAGTAATAGCCAACCAGGACAGAATGTTTTATCACTACATGTAGCCCCTATCAGCTCTTACAATTTGTCAGTTAAGAAGGTGGATCAACACTAAGAAAGGTTATGAAAAAGTCACCATAAGACTACTAAGTAGGTTGGCCAACAGCCCAGGTTTGCCAGTAATTAAGGGGTTTCCCAGCATGCAAGACTTTAGTGCTAAAACTGGGAAAGTCCCATGGAAACCAGGACCAACTGGTAACCCTGATGCTAAACTAAATAAGAATTTCTATGAATGGTATATTGAAGTTTAAAGTGTGTGGGAACTGTCCGGCCGGTATGGCTAAGTGGTTGAGCATTGACCCATGCACCAAGAGGTCATGATTCAATTCCCAGTCAGGACACATGCCCAGATTGTGGGCCCAATCCCCAGTGGGGGGCATGCAGGAGGTAGCCAATCAAAGTTCTCTCTCATCGATGTTTCTATGTCTCTCTCCCTCTCATTCCTCTCTCTCTCTAAAATCAATAAAGAAAAAAAAATTAAAGCATGGGAACTGATACTATAGCTTTTTTGGCCTGGTTGGTTTATCTTAATTAGGAGGAGAGTCAGAAGAAGGACATACTCTTAACTATATGAGAAAAAGAATCTGTTAGTGCAATGGGTGGAATTATATTATTAGTTCAGAGGGTATGCCAAATGTCAAAAAGAAAGTAATACCAAGTGGAACTATTGCTATTGTCTCATGTCCCTCAGTCTCTTTAGGATGACAGAGCTCTTACCCAGAAAATTTTGTTTGGGTTAGGCATCATCCCTGAAAATGAACCTAAGAGGAGATATAAAACTACCTTCTTCCTCATGTTAGAAAATCTCTTAATCATTCACAGTTTGTGCTAAACATGGAACTCAGATCTAAAAGGTCAGAAATCAAAGGTTTTGCATCGTGATAGGCAAAGCTCAGATCAGGTGTCTTCTCTCCTGAGTGCTGCTTTACTTCACTGGAATTAAAAGCATATCAAGCATTCTTTGTTCCAGAGAGTATTTCAAGCAGGCTATAAGAATGGTACAATTATTCTAGAAGTGGGAAGACTTATCTCCTATTATTCACATTTTATTTAAATTTTTTTTCTTTATTGATTTGAGAGAGAGGAAGGGAGAAGGAGAGAGAAACACTGATGACAGAGAACATTGACTGGCCGCCTCCTGCATGCCCTCACTGGGGATTTGGCCCACAACCTGGGCATGTGCCCTGACCGGGAATCAAACCAGCGACCTCCTGGTACATGGGTCAATGCTCAACCATTGAGCCATACCAGCCAGGCTATCATTCACATTTTAGAGAGCACACTAATAACTATTAAGACCACACAGGTGACAAAGCTACAAAGAACATTACTTATAAGAGAGAAGTCCCAATTACATCAGAAACCTGAGAGAATAGCAGCTAAGGAAAGGTTTAAAAATGTTGAGGGCATGTCCTACTGATGGTAACTAATACGAATCTCTGTAAGCAGAATGACATCTGGTTAAGATTCTAATAAAATACAAGATAAAACAGTGCTCAAACTACCTGCATAAGATAGCTTAGTTATCTTATTTGAGTGAGATCTAAATTAATTAATGAAGGGGGGGGGCTTTCAGGCCTATGTTGTAAGGTGGGGCTCAGCAATGAAAACTGAAAATTTAGGTTATAGATATGAGAGAGTTATATGATGGCTCCAGTCTCCCCAATCCTCTAGTTCTGAATCAGTGACTTCTATTGCTAAACACCCCCTATTCCCTATTTTTTAAAAATATGTTTGATCAGAAAAGACACCTACATTGCATATTTACCTAGCATGAACATTTCCTTGTCTAAAGTCAGTTTAACTCCCTCATCAAGCTTATATCTTCAGTCAAATGGAGAGGCATAACAGCTCTACATCTCAAGTCACCTGGGGAACTAGAACTATGGAATAGAACTGATATCCACAGTTATTGCTGTGCTTCTAATTACTAGTCAAAAAGCTCTTGCTGACCTGGCCAGTTTGACTCAGCAGTTAGAGCACTGGCCCGCTGACCAGAGAGTCCTGGGTTCAGTTCCTGCTAAGGGCATATACATAGGTTGCAGTTTGTCCCCAGCCCCGGTTGGGGTCTTGTGGGTGGCAACCACTCGATGTGTCTCTCTCACGTTGATGTTTCTCTCTCTCTTCCTCCCTCTCTCTCTCCCACTCTACCTGAAGATAAATTCAAAAATGTCCTCAGGTGGGAATATTAAAAAAAATAAAAATAAAAAAGCTCTTGCTGGCCAAAAAATCTAAGCAGTGTTTGGTTTGCTGAATTATTCCCATGAAACTTTGACAGTAGTCAACTTATGAAAGAGACCTAGCAGTCCTTTAATCTTTATTCATCAAAGGCTCTTCAAGAGAAGCTTTTACTCAAAAAGCAAAAGCAAGGACCCCCAGCGAAAGCTGGATATCAACCAAGGTTGCCGAAGAACTCCCTTTCCAGGGGGTGGCATCTAGCCTCTGTATAGCCACCTCTATACAGTTCTTTGTTTTCTTCATCAACCCTGAGGAGGGAATGACATTTCTTTGTTTAGATTTTTCTATCTCTTAAATAACAAAGGCATAATATTTTACACAGGTTACAGAAAAGGTAACTCTTGGCATGAATGACCTGCTCCGTTTTCTGACCTGGAAAAGTTCAGCCAACCTCAGGCAACTAGGTGTTCCTGTTTGCTAGGGTTCAATATTGTTGATTAGTGTGTTCTCTTTTCAGTATAGCATAGGGCAGGTTAGAATTCCTGAGATGAAAAAATTCTCCCTGATCTACTGTGAGATGGAGCGACAGCACAAGATATAACTATGCAAAGAGCATACGATATTCTGGACTGAGAGAGTCTAAAGGATAAGAAAAGGCCTAATCCTTCTCCCTTCTCCCCCTTTTCTCTCTAGAAAGTATAACAAAGAATAGCTGCATGCTAATAAAGTGATAATTAAATAAATTAACATTTAGCTACTTGCCCAGCTGGTGTTGCTCAGTGGTTGAGCATCAACCCATGCACCAAGAGGTCGCCAGTTCGATTCGCCGTCAGGGCACATGCCCAGGTTGTGGGCCAAATCCCCAGTGGGGGCATGCAGGAGGCAGCAAATCAATGTTCTCTGTCATAGATGTTTCTATCTCTCTCTCCCTCTCCCTACCTCTCTCTCTCAAATCAACAAAGAAAAAATAATAATTTTTTAATTAAAAAAAATACACAAACATTTAGTTACTCATTAGAGGGAGGTGTGAGACTGATGCAGTTGATATGCAAACACTAAGAGCTAATGGTGCCCTGGCCGGTTTGGCTCAGCGGTTAGAGTGCCCACCTGCGGTCCGGAAGAGCTAATGGTCAATTAAATGACCAGTTATATACCAAATTTCTCAGTGCCTTTTTTCCACACCTCTACTACATAGCCTTGTATCTCTACTGGGAACAAAAAAGGTATTCTAGCTTAAAAGACAGGACTAAGATCTTCCCCAAAATCTGTAGAGAAAGCTTTGTATAGTATAGACTTAAAAACGATATAGATAAACGGAAGGGCCAAAATCTAATTCTCAAAAATGAAGAATATGTTGGGACTCCATTCAGAGTGATAAAGTACCACATTTTCCAAATAGAGGATTGAGCATGGCCCTGAGGGAAGAGGAAAAATGAATTCCAATTAAAGGTCACTTTTTCCAGGTTAACAATGGTAGACAGAGTGGGGAGGGCTATCTCCTCTTCCTAGTCATTACTGTGATACCTTGCTTGGGAAGGCTCTAGTTTGCTTTTTATGATGTTGTTCTTTTGTTTTTAGTTGTTTCATTTAGGAGGAGAGAAATAAAACAAGAATCATAAATACACCTTTCCTAGAAATTATACAACAGAGACTATAAGATTTTTTAGAATGTTTGGGACTGGTTAAGTCTTTCTTTCTGTATTTTTTTCAAGGCAGTATGCATAATAGCAAGTCAACTATCTGACATGGAAATTATCATTGAGGAAACAGGACTCTGTATTCAGCAGGAGTGTTTCTCAGAATGACATACCACATTCACTTATTTCAGAATCATCTAGTACTTTTTAAAAACAAAAACAAACAAACAAAAACAGAATTTTCAGGTACAATTCAAATTATTGAATTAGAATTGGCGCTGATGAGTGTGGCTCAGTTGGTTAGAGTATCATCCTGTACACTGAAAGGTCATGGGTTTGATTTCCAATCAGGATACATACCTAGGTCGCGGGTTCAATCCCCGGCCCTGGTCAGGGCACCTGCAGGAGGCAACCAATTGATGTTTCTCTCTCACATCGATGTCTCTCTCTCTCCCCGCCTCCCCCTCTCTCTAGAAATCAATAAACATGTCCTAGGGTGAGGATTAAAAAAATTAGAATTGGGGGACATGGGATCGAGTTTTTAAGATGCTTCACTGGTGATTCTCGTCTACACTAATGTTCTAGAGGACCCATAAAATATCAACTTGGACAACTACTGGCATAGTAACAGTAAAATTGTAGAACTAGTAAGACTTATTTTTAAGGGGGCATTTTCATTGTACACTGCTCAGATCTGAATATTAACAAAAGGGTAACTCTCCAAGAAACAATCTATATCTATGTCAAAATAAAATGCAATTATAAATAAAAGTTAAAAATAATTTGGAATTGTTCTTGAATGGCAGCAAAAATATTTATACTTACTGAAATATGGTGTGCATACATTGGCCTAGACAGGAAAAATGCTGCATCATGGGGTGTATGAAATTCATTACAGAGCACATCAATTGAAGGCACTCGCTTTATATAATCTTCTGTGCTTAGATTAGATGCTAAAAACCCACCAAACTGTACCAGGGTATCATGACACTAAATTTAAAAAAATAAGACATAAAAACACAAATGTGCTACCACTTTACAAAAAGAACATAAACATTTTTCAAAATGATTAAGGTGTCATTTAAACAATATTTTGATCAACAAGAATTCAAATTTTACAAATCAAAAGAACTTTAAAGACGATCTACAAATAGCATATTACAAAAAGATGCCAAGGTACTGAAAAATACACTAATCTTAGACTTTAATATCAACCAGTTCTCAAATTCCAAGCTATTGTTCATCACTTTTAGTAGCAGAATATATTTACTTAAATCACATACAATTTTATGTATACAGAAGTCAATTCCCTTCACCTTAAAAGATGAAAACTTCATTTATAAAACATATGTGATCTACTTTCCTTGTATTATAGTGATTGTTAAACACATTTTGTAAGCTAACCATAGTTTTGGTGCTTAATATTTATAAATATATTTTATAAATAAAGATAACATCTACTTTGCTGTGACTGAAATTCCAGAGATTAGGAAAAGATATGAGAGCAAACAACTTCAAGTTATCTACTTAACTGAAAACCTTATACATATTATATCCCTAGAGCCATTGCTTAAATACCAAAATTTGCACAGAAATAGCCCATTTCCAGAATATCTGTTACATTAGAGCTGCTTCACACTCACATGTGCAAAATGACATTTTTCAAGTGATAGGACATTCTACATTTTCCATTATCTGGATTTTAAAAATTAACATAAACACAAAAGCCACTTTAACTTGCCTGATCATAGAGCTTTCCCACAAGTTTCAAATGTTTCTCTCCACCTTCCTGAAAGATCACCCCATTCCTCTGCTGAGCCATAAGCAAACAGAGGGGAAGAGCAAGATCATGGTCCAATAGTGCATCCTTTAATCTCTGGGAGGATTTTTTAGTGTTTCGGATCTGGCCAAAATAACCACCCTGCAAAAGAGAAGATTAAATTTACCAGCATACAGTACATAATACATGCCATGTGATTTGAAAAAGATAAAAAAGTTCACTTACAATCCTGAAGATAAAAAAACCTCATAGTCTACATTCTTTCCCTTTCTTTGCAAATTTACTTCAGTGACACCATTACTGGTTATAGTCACTGACTTAACGATTATTGTCAATTGCCTTGAAACTTCTGCATATTTTCCATTTTCTACCATGCAATCCCTTATAAAGGATTATTCTTTATTCAGTGTGGAGCAGATTCAACAACAGAGTAACTATGTTCAGATTTATGCCAGTTAAGATATCAAGGACCTCAGAAGATTTGATATTTATTTACCTTATAGATGTTATTAAACTCTTTTATGCTTTGTTTCAGCTTTTTAAAAAGGTTAAAATATGTCCTGGCTAGGTAGCTCAGTTGGTTAGAGCATTGTCCAGATATACCAGGGTTGCAGGTTCGATCCCCGGTCAGGGCACATACAAGGATCCACCAATGAATGCATAAATAAGTAGATCAACAAATCGATGCCCCTCCCCTCAAAAAATAATAAATAAAAAAAATTTAAAACAAAGAACTAAAAGTTAAAATAACTAGTATATCTCAATATTTAAAAGGAAGCTGGGGGCAGTTGTGATAGGAGAATATGTATGGCTTTGATATTTGGCTTTATGTACTTAGGGACTTTTTGAATTCTTTACTATGAGCATGCATACATTTTGAATTAAAAAATATCAATAAATAAAAATAGCAACTCTCACCTCAGCTTTTAGTTGCTCTCCACCAGTCATGGCCTCTAGTTGTTCCATTGTCATTTCCTCTGTAATTTCTATTCCTGCCATTTTTTGTACCACTTCTTTTAATATAAGCAGGTCAAAACTATTTAGAAAAAATAACGAACACCCTGTAGTTGAAACTTCAAACATGAAAGTGACACTGTATTGTAACTAATATACTGAGAACCCCTAAATTATTTGTACATAAATATGAGAAGAAAGGGACTGAAGTAGTTTTTAAGGAAAAACTGCATTCCTAGAAGTATACTGAAAAATATTTGGGCCATGTTAATATGTTTACATTTATTTGAACTTTTTACTTAGAAATAATTTCAAATGTATAGATAACGTGTGAAGATAAAAACAGTACAAAGTTTTACACCCCAACTTCACCTATTAAACATTTTTATTCCTGTTTGCTTTGTCACTTGTATTTTTTCTCTCTCTCTACATACACACACACACACACACACACACACACACTTTTTGAACCATTTCACAGTTTATTTAGTATGTAACATCATTTTAGGGATACATTTTACCCCTAAAATTACTATGACTATATTTTCCTAAGAGTGTATTTCCTAAAAATACAGCTATTCTCTTATATAACCACAGCAGTTATTAACTTTAGTAAATCCAACACTGACACAATATAGTTCATATTTCATTTTTATAAGTTGAATCAACAGTTCATGTTTTATTTTTATCAGCTGATCCAATAATGATCCCCCATAGCATTTTTTTAACCCTCCAGTACAGAATGGCCAATAAATATTTTTGATGGTATAGAGCTATCTCTCTAAACAATCACACACACTCTTTCAACTGGCCTTGTCTTGCCTAAACACAGCTTTTGAAAACAAAAGAGCCCTCAGACAAATAAGTATGCAACAAGCACCAATAAAATATTTTAATTTTTATTTTAAACTATCTTTTAATTAGATGGTCACAAAAACTATATTCATAGTACAGAGAACAAATTATAGATTTAAAAAGAACATTATGTTCTCCCGATCTATAGACATAGAAGAGTAAAATGTATAGGAATGGCCGATCAGATGAGCATAGCATAAGTGCTACACTGGTAAAATTCTGATTCTAAATAGTATTTTTTTAAGTTTTCACTAAACCAAAATAATAATATCAAGAATTCCTTAGGTAATACTTGTATGGAATGGCAGACTGCTTTACAGATTTTTGTTTGCTTTTGAAAACAATTTTCAGTTCTTTGATTCTAGTCAGTCTACTGCTGATAAGGTTTAATATACATATTAATTCAAACTCTAAGCACTGATATTGGTCCAGAATAAAATAAAAAGTATTTATAAAGAAAAGAAGGTACTGTTCAAAAAGTATATAAGCTGTATGTCTCTCTAAAGTTCAAATTCCAAAAATAATTTTGTTAAAGATACTATATACACCTTCAAAATAAATATGTTCCTACCAAATGCTCAGTGTAAAGGTCGATTACTGTCCAGTAGCATAATCAATAATTTTGTCATAAAAGGATTTACAATATACCATATTAACCATTTATTCAAAAGCCTAACTAACAGGTAGTCAAAATGAGTTAGTCTTTTTAGAGTTACATATATGGCCAAATATTAATTTCCTTTTGTAAAAAAAGTGTTTATGTATTAAATTATAATTTATTTTAATTAAAGAATTCCACATACATAAGTGAACAACTATTCTACTTATGCCTACAATCAACAAATAGTTTGGGTAATAGAAATCTCAATATCCCAACATCACCAGAAGCACTCTAATTATTGAATTTCATTTACATGTAATTTGCTATGAATACCTTTTGCCCGCCTTTAGCTGATTAGCCACGTACTGAAGAAGACCAGCAAGATCTATTGGATATTTACGAAAAACTGCACCACAGAAACTAGCCAGACCTACATGAAATTTTTAAAAAAAAAGGGCTTTTTAAAAACAATTCATAAAACAAAAAGTACAATATTGAATGTCATTTCTTTAACTCAATTTCTAAACAAAATGAGGTAGGAATAATTATATTGCTAACACCACTTAATAGAGTTTTATAATTGATAACAGCTAATATTTATTATTAGGATACAAATACCAAACACTTTATTAAATAAGCACTTTAACGGTCTCATTTAGAACACATATATAATGTACTTTGCTCACAGTCACATAATTGGTATGAGGTACAGTGGTAATTCAAATGTATATGGCCTGTTTACAGAGCCAGTAACATTAATTAGGCCACAACAAAAATCTTTCAGATCACTCAGTAAACTTGAATGGTCAACAAAACATCTGCCCCTCAAATATTTGAGTCATGAAAAAAAATCTTTTTATCTAGGAATATGCTACTAGTTGTGGAGGGGCAAGGAAACAGGTAAAGCATTGCCAGACCAAGCAGCAGAAAAACGACCAATCTTAACCAATAGTCTTTATCATACCATGAGTAGAGAGAAAACTCACAGTCAAGAAAAGAGATCCTAATAAAGTCAAGTTATATGTAGCCTTGTTGACAATTATTTGCTGAGCACCTAAATAAATAATGAACAAAACACAGGTCCTGCCCTCAAGGAGCTTACCAACTAGTGAGGGATAAAGAAAGTAAACTGAAGTAACTATGATGAATAAAAGGTTCAATGGGAATATGGAAGAAAAGCACCTAATCCTGACTTTTGAGTAGAAGCATTAATGAGGAATGCTTCCCAAAGAAAGTGACCTCTAAGCTGAAATCTAAGATGTAATGGAGGAGATGAGTGGGCATGGAAGGGTATTCCAAGTAGAGGGAATAATGTGCAAATGGGACATGGAAAGTGCAAGAACTTCAGTATTAATGGAACCTAGAATATTGAGAAGGAGCAAAAGATGAGGCTAATACAATGAGTAAGAACCTGATTCCCAAAGAAGTTACTTGTATGACTTATTAGACTGCAGACTTTAAAAGGCAATGGGAGCTACTGCAAAATTCAGTTATCAGACAGGTCTGGTTGAAAAACAATGGAACTGGATGCAAGAAATCAAAGATACAAGACATTTTTTTAAAGGCTAGGGTTTTTTAAATTAGTAAACAACCAAGTTTTCGTTCTTTCAAGATGACTGAAACCTAGGGATGGAGATGAAAGAAGGGAAAATAGTTCCCTTAAGATTAATTCCTCTAAAATAATAGAAGGGAATTTTCATCTCCCCAGTAATGCTTGCCCAAATTCTATCATGGCTAATACTGGCCTCTTGAGTTGGAAAATGCAGAAGTACTATATGAACCTCCTTACACAGCCAAGAACTTGGACACTAGTGTAAAAGTTAAGTGGCTACTCTCAAAAGCTTTTGCCAATAGGCACTTAGCATAGGTGATAGAACACACAGCATAGCAGTCATAACAGATGAAAATGTCATCCTTGGAAAAATAAAAGTACTTACTCTGAAGCCAGCTTGAAATTGTTGTGTCATCATGTTTCATTCTCTCCTTCTCTGGATTAGCTAATGCTTCAATAATACAATCTTTCATACATTAAGAAAAAAATTTTAAGTCACCACATCTCTAACAAAGACCTTTAAAATAACAACAACAAAAATGCCACATCTTGGGAAAAAAATGAAATAGTTAAGTTCAAGTTATTGCAAATTAATGAAAAATACACTCACTATAGTACCAATTTTTTCTTCTTTAGCCTTTTTTCCATCTTTCAGAAAGCAACAGACTCCATCTATATCAAACTATTTATACACTTGAAACCTGTATGATCTTATTAACCAATATCACCAATAAATTTAATAAGATGTTTGTTCTTTCCAAAGACTGAGTAATCAGTGGGTGACACACACAAAAAAGATGTTTGGTAAATGTAACACTGTCTCTCCCTATAAACAACACAGAGAAAAATACACACACAAACTCCTGACTGACCAACTTCAGATCAGCCAACTGAATCAACCTCAGATGGTTACTAAAGGAACTAAGAATGAAAATAAAACATTCACCATTAAGATCTATAAAATGTGAAATCTATGTATTACTTCTCTTAAAAGGATACAGGCCAAGACATCATAATTCAATGAAGTGAGGTATTTCAGTGAATCTACTACAGGTGTTATTAAGTTATCATACTTCTGTATTTGTGACAAAATCTGGAAGACAGCAACATAGAATAGATGGTGTTAACTAATCAAAAGAGAACTTCTGTGCTAATTAATGGTTTTATTTTTCATTTTCCAAAAGGAAAGAGTTTCCTTCCCTTTTGTATTTATATAAAACCGACTAATCCTATTATTTCCTTAGAATATATTTTCTTGGGCTACATTTTCCAACTAGGAAATAATTCCAAGGTATCTAAACTTGCATTCTAGAAATATGAGGCTAGTCAAATGTGTTTCAGAAATCTGTCTAAATATGAAAGTATTATATGTGAATCATAATGACATGTTATTCAAATGTTTCTAACAATTGAATCTATTCATGCTTCTATAAATCAAAATGTAGTTAAACAAGATGTTAGACTGTTTATAACAGCAGCGGTTACATAGTATTAAAATAGAACAATTTAGCCCAGCAGTGTGGCTCACTGGTTGAGCCACAAAGAGGTCGCTGGTTCTATTTCCAGTCAGGGCATATGCCCAGGTTGTGAGCCAGTTCCCCAGTTGGGGCATGCAGGCGGTAGCCAATTGATGTTCTCTCTCATAGATGTTTCTCTCTCTCTCCTTCTCCCTTCCTGTCTCTCTAAAATCAATAAAGGAAATATATTAAAATAAATAAAATAGATCAATTTGCTACATATATTGTATACCAAGTTTTGTTTTTAGAATGACCATACAATGATTCATTTGCTAAAGGTTTTTTTCCCCCTAAAACTACGAAACATTTTTATTTATTTATTTATTTATTTTGGGTACATGCCCCTAGAGGGAACAGAACCCGAGACTCTGGTCCGCAGGCCAATGTTCCAACTGCTGAGCCAAACCAGCCAGGGCAACTATGAAACATTTTTAAAACTATATCACCAAATTTATACTTGTGCTGACTTAAAGACAAAATAACGAAAATCAAAAAACAAACAAACAAAAAACCCGTAAAATAATATTAACCTGAAAACATACATAATCAAACAAAATGGTTGGATTGCTGTGGCTCAACTTCCCAATTTGTCTTCCAGAAGGCTTCACATTTTCCTTGGTTAGACGCCTACAAAGGGAGAAAAAGGTTCCACAGATTATCTTAGGTAATTTTCCTCATAATGTTGATAGCTTTATTACATCATAACAACACAAAAACAATAAAAAACTATTCCTTGTCAAATATCTAAAATGGATCCATGTAAACAACCACGTTTATCACATACTTTACTGAAGGACCTGGACTATTCTGATTAGGCATTCTACAAGAGGGTATTAAATTTTTGTATTAACGCATAACAATTTATAATATACATATTTCCATTTTGTAGTAATAGTCTAATAAGCATTAAAACTCTAAGTTATTCTACAAGTACATAAAACTTCTTATAGAGTCATAATTATTTTAGATTAAGAAGGTATATTTTTTTATCAGTTCAGCAATTAACATGTCCAATTTGGTGTAATGGAATGAAATGTCTCATGCCATCTGTCTCAGTGACCCTAACAGAGTAATAGCTAATACTATATTCCTTGATAGAGGAAATTCTCTGGTTTTCATATTCAAAATAAACCATTTTTGAAAAGCTAATTCTATTCCTTTCCCTCCTCTTTAATTCTTCCTCTGCTCAGTATTCTTTAACATTCTAGAAATTTATATCTATGAAATGTCTACAGTTCAAAACAATTATTATACACCATATTAAACCATTCCAATAAGATTATTAAATAATAAGTCTAGAAACTTGAAACCTGAAAAGCTTACAAGTGATAGGAAGATTTCTAGAATGAAAATATAATGAAGTAAATAATGAATTCAGTTGATAGCTCAAAGAATGTGACCATTCTAGCCCTGGCCGGTTTGGCTCAGCGGTTAGAGCGTCGGCCTGCGGTCCTGAGAGACCCGGGTTCGGTTCCCGCTAAGGGCACGTACCTCGGTTGCAGTTTGTCCCCGGCCCTGGTCGGTTGTGTGGGTGGCAGCCACTCGATGTGTCCCTTTCACATCGATGTTTCTCTCTCTCTCTCTCTCTGTTCCTCTCCCCCCCCCCCACTCTACCTGAACAAAAAATGGAAAAATGTCCTCGGGTGAGGATAAAAAAAAAAAAAAAAGAATGTGACCATTCTAGAAGTGACAAATATGATATATTTATCTTTAGAAGCTTCTTATGACAAAACTGACCCTTCAACTAAAATTATTTCATTATGAACTGCTTCCCTTTCCCATTTTCCTTGGCTTAGGTTTCTTGTTTCTTTTCCACAGAAGAGACAGACACCTATCAGTTTCAAACTTTGGCTATACTGTTTCACCTGAAAACTTACTACTATCTGTCCTTACTTCTAACCCTATTTTAGGTCGCCCTCCTACTCGCCAAAGCTAACCCTTCATTTCTATACTTTTTATCCTGTTCCCTTCTGCCTCCAACACCCTGGAGGGAAAAACAAAAATAAAAGGAATACTTTCTTGGTTATATGTTCCCCTCAAGCTACCATGGTATCTGGCACATGGAACACAATCAATAAGTATTTGTAGAATCAAGTATTAGCAAATTCATGTTTTGAATAGTAATCAAAACTTATAAAATTCTACAAGTAATAAATACATCCCATTCTCAACATAAAAAATTCAATCAGCATCAAAATAATACTGTTTAAACCTGGTGAAATAGTTATAGCTTACAAATATAACAAGATTCTGCCCGGTTGGTGTGGCTCAGTGGATTGAGCATCATCCCATGGACTGAGAGGTCCCAGTTCGATTCCTGGTCAGGACACATGCTCAGATTGTGGGCTCGATCCCCAGTAGGGTGCATGTGCAGGAGGCAGCCAATCAATGTTTCTCTCTCACATCGATGTTTCTCTCTCTCTCTCTCAAAAAAAAAAAAAAAATCAATAAAAACATAGTTTTAAAAACTAAGTACATTAACAATTCTACACATATTCTGTGATATTTTTATTAATTTATTCATTCATATTAATGTCTTCTATGATAGGCAAAGTGCTAAGCACTAGGAAAAAGGATGACTAATAGCTCCTGCTCTTACGCTCAGTCCAGCTGGAGAGGCAGATTTAAAATATTTTTTAAATGTTTATATTCTTCAACAAATTGAGCAAATCACAGAATAGTACTCATTATATGCTATCAATATAAAAAGTAGGGAATATATTTGTACTCACTTGTATATACATAAAAATATCTGGAAGGATAAATAAGAAACTAAACAGTGGTTACTTCCCCCCCCCCCCCTTGGGATGACTGAGTGGACAGGGAAATGGAGTAAGAGACTTTTTACTGTCAACCTTTTTATATGTACTGAAATTTAAGCAATGTAAATATATGAACTTCAAAAATTAGACAATTAAAAAAAGAAAAATAATCATAGTAATGTATCTAAGTGGTATGATAGCATTATATATATATGGAACAGTGGTGGCACCGATAAAGAACAATCAATTATGCTTAGCAGTATGTACTATGGAAAGCTTCACAGAGGAGGTGACACTGGAGCCTACCCTCCAAGCATGAGGTCACCAGACAGAGAGAGAAAAGAGGTAAGAGAAAAATTGTATGAACAGAAGAAACAAAATAACCATACCACTGTATGACTGATAAAGACATGACAATAAACAGCATTGCTGAAAACATTTGTATATTTAGTATCTAAATCAATACTAATGTAAGTATAAAATTTTCATAATTAAACTTTAAACAATTTACCGAGAAGTAAAAAGCATCACTCTTGTGCTTTTAATGACATGAAAATAAAGCACACAAATGAAAAAAATTTGAATTTTTTCTAAAACTGACGCCCTATGGAGATAGTTCAGCACAATTCCATTAGAGCTTCTAAAAGAAAAAAAAAATTATTAAAATAACTTTCAGCAGTAGAAATTCCTAGAATTTTTACTATCTTGTACAAGCCATTAAATGTATTGTGTAAATTAAGCTAAGGCCACAGTAGGTCGTCCTTAAAAAAAAATCCTATAATGTAAAAAATCCTATTAATTTAATGCATTAAAATGATTTCTTTTAATCCTCACCCGAGGACATTTTTTCATTTTTTGTTCAAATAGAGCGGGAGGGAGAGAGAGGGAGAGAGGGAGAGAGAGAGAGAAACTTCGACGTGAAAGGTACACATCAAGTGGCTGCCACTCACACGACCCAACCAGGGCTGGGGACAAACTGCAACCGAGGCACATGCCCTTAGCGGGAACCGAACCCGGGTCTCCCTGGACCGCCGACGCTCTAACCACTGAGCCAAACCAGCCAGGGCCATTAAAATGATTTTTATTATATTTCATAGCTATGCAAACATAACAATTACAAAAACTAACTTGGTAGTCAAAATGAGCTAAAAACCACAAAAACTGAGTCATTCTAAATGCAGTATACAATTAGCTATACCATTAGGAAATACTCTTGGGTTTCTTCAAAACTGACTCAGACATAAGCTGGCTGAAAAAAAAAGTAAATTAGATTCAGATATACTTTAGATCAATATGAAGAATATAAATTATAACTTACTTCATGATATATTTGGCTCTGTCTATTGTTTGAGCTTTAACTTTTACTAAAAGTGGGTGACTGTTATAAGTTTCATTCTTCCACTGGCCATACAGACGATATCTTTAAAAAATGAGATAAAAGAATTAGGAAAGTTAGACACTTAGAGGTTAATGTACTAGAATAGTAGTTCAAAATACAAAAATATTATGTATTTACCTGTGCTGATATGGAAATGTTTTAAACATTCCCCATAATTCCTCAGACATACAAGCATTGCAGTCCATCAAAGAAAGAGATGGAAGTAGTACCTGGTCAGTAATGCTAAGCAAACAGCTAAGGATAACTTCCTAAGAAGGGAGAAAAAATTATTTTAGTAAGACGCTCATTTAATCCTCCAACAAAAATATTTTTGTCAGTCCTGGAAAAATGACCATTTATTGATCTCATAACACACAGTATCTAATTCCCCACACTATCATTGTCCTTTTCATAACGGTTATTTGTGTTTCTCCATCTAAGAAAGCAAATGAGGCGAGGGAAGGAAAAAAGATAGCTAGAGAATGAGAAACTTTTATTATCCCTCTTCCTTCTTCCACATGGTAATCCTCAAAAACACGTTATGAATCTTAAAAGATAACTTGTATAATAATTGTTCACACAGGTGATGAAAGCTTGTCCACAGTAAAATTTGCAGTATGCTGTACCTAAGACAAACATTAGACACATTGGAATTTTCTAATCTCTTACCGTTTTCTCCTTATCTTCTTGTTTGCTTCCATCAGACTGAAACTAAAATAGAACAACATTTAAAAAACTATTAATACAATGTAAAAAGGTTAAGACTATGCTGTCACAATTTAGTTTCTAATTTGAAAAAAATTAATTTGCACATGGTTGTAAATTTCCTTACTGATACATATGTAGCTTTTAAATATAGCCAGTATTACCAATTAACATTGTTAAACTTCATTCGTATTTCTAACCTCTAAATCATTTGAAACGCTCATGAGTTTTAAATGTCAAGTTTATATGTCAATTCCTTTCTCAAACTCATCACAAACCAAAGCATCCTAAAACTAATCAAAGTATTTATTATAAAATTGTAGCCAACACCAGTTAGTTATACTGCATTTTTCCATCAATTCTAGGTTTTTCCCCTTATAAAACTGATAAAATCTAACACAAAACAACCACAAAAAAATTAACCCCAAAGAAATTTAAAGCTACATTTTATTTTTTTAATATGTTTTTATTGATTTTTAGAGAGAGAGGTAGGGAGAGCAAGAGAGAGATAGAAACATCAAAGAGAAAGAAACATCAATTGGCTGCCTCCTGCACACCCCCTACTGGGGATTGGGCTCATAATCAGGACATGTGTCCCAATGGGGATTTGAACCAGCAATCTCTTGCTCCATGGGACAACACTCAACCACTAAGCCACATGAGCTGGACTAAAGCTGTATTTCAAATCACTACTATTTAAGCCCTCACTGAGTTAGAATAAGCCCAAAATGTTAGTAACATTGCTGACAATGACAAAACCATTACCTAAATTGGACATACTGAGAAAACATGGGTCAGTATTATATCAATGATTTGCAGGCAGGCAGCTTAAGTGCCATGTTTGACAATACTGTCTAGTCATTCAAAATGAAATAGTGATACTTGTGTTATGTATAGGCAGGTGGAAAGTTGGGAGAGTGTGCAAAGGACAAATGAAGCACTGATACTCAAGGACATCTTAGAGTTCTGGATAGGATTTAGCACAATACCAAGTGAGAGAAGGGGAAATGCTAATATGCAGCTAACGATATGCAGCTATTTTCTTGGCAGATGAGGGTGTTCTGTGCATGTATGTTTACATGCTTAAGTAATTTAATGGGTATAAACTAATGGAAAGTGTAACTTCTCTGGACCGCAGGCCGGCGCTCTAACTGCTGAGCCAAACCGGCCAGGGCAAAAGTGTAACTTCTATGCAACATCTTCACCTAACACTAATTCAGGGACTGCCGTGTTACCCTGATGGGAAAACACACACAATCGCCTTTATTTTAACAGACAGGATAAGAAGTTACGGTTTTCTTTTGCAGAAACAATTACTAAGTCAACATATATCCTGGTCAGCAAATAACGAGTCAGGTTATAAAGGAGTAGCCTGGAAGAAAACAAACTAGATAGTTGTTTTTGTTTGGTTTGGTTGTTGGGGAGGGGGCATAATTCTGGTGGAATACTGGGTGTACACTGGGAGGCAGAAATAAGGGTATATCATAATTGGAAGAACTAGGTTTATAGTATATTATGTTGGGGATAAAGGCAGTTAAGCTACTCCTTTCCTGGTATACTATGATTCAAACAAACCTAATAAAGCTACACATAGTTTTCTCTATAGAAATAAGACATTTCTTAGTTACTAAGCTGTCATAATTCCCTTACTAGATAATTACATACATTTCTGATGCCCATACGTCAGTTCTCTAGAGTTTATAAGCAAAAAAAATTAAGAGAAAGAAATATAGAGAGTAAAATGAAACCATCTATAGAAAATTGCTGATCTAGAAGAACATAAAGAAATCATTCTATCAATGGCTAATTATAACAAAGATGAACAAAAAAATAAATGAAGAGGTAGATATCAGTAAAGTAATTTTCTTTTGTTTGGTAAAAAATTAAAGATACATTCTACCCCCTTGATGCTTTCTTTTTCTTTTAATTTGCTCTTTAATTCAGAGTAAACATATAACTCTCCATTCCCACAATACAATACTAAACATTTTACTGACTGGCAGGCCAGAAGAAAATGGGAAGAAGAAAAAACAAAGACATGCATACATTCAGTCATTTACTAATGTGCCAGGCACTGGGTATTCAAAGATAAATAGGATGGAGTTCCTATCTCTGAGGATCTCTTGAAGATCAAAACTACACTTGCCAATGTACTGTTAGGAAGTGAATTTTTTAAGTTTGAATAAAATTGAGCCCTCACAATTATACCTAGACAGACCATCAGCTATAAATGGTCCCAAGCAGGTTCCAATCTTGCCCTATAAAGACAGAGCAGGTGACAGGGCTGCATAACAGCACTGGGAGCAAAAAGAATGTAGTCATTAAGAAGGCAATTTGAAGAGTCAAGAAATAAAGGCCTGGAAAAGTTGTAGATATAACCCAGATAAATTACTTTTCTATTACTATTGTTCTATTTTTAATACCTCTAACCCATGTACTCTTCAAATGCTACTTTAGACTATACTTTAATCTCAGAAAAGAAACAAACAAAAAATACTAATATTTGTGACTAGATTGGAACCTTAAAGCTGCTACATCTACATAAATTATGGAAATACTTTTACCTTCCTTTTTGTCTTGTTCTTATTAACTAGAATTTATTGAGTATTCACTATGTACCATGTACCAGGCTAAAAACTTCACATTTATGTCTTAAAACTACTCTATGAGACAAATCTTTTTGCTAGAAAGGATCCATATCAGACCCATCAAAGTAACAAACAGGAAAGTATAACCTATAGATTAAAAGTTACAGGAACATGAGTTTATGAAGCCTGGAGAAGAGATAACTAAATCAACTTGCTTTTATTTTTCAATCAGAAACTCTTAAGACTCTATAAAACACTTACAAATAACCAATAAGGCCCTGGACAGTGTGGCTCAGTTGATTGTCATCCCATGCACTGAGAGGTCACCAGTATGATTCCTGGTCAAGACACATGTCCTGGTTCTGGGCTCAATCCCCAGGAGGGGGCATGCAGGGGGAGAAGGGGGCAGCCGATTGATGTTTCTCTTTCTCTCCTTCCCTCACCCTCTCTCTAAAATCAATAAAAACTTAAGAAAGACAGAAAGAGAGAGAGAGAGAGAGAGGGAGGGAGGGAGGGAGGGAGGGAGGGAGGGAGGGAAGAAGGAAGGAAGGAAGGAAGGAAGGAAGGAAGGAAGGAAGGAAGGAAGGAAGGAAGGAAGGAAGGAAGGAAGGAAGGAAGGAAAGAAGGAAGGAAAGAAGGAAGGAAAGAAGGAAGGAAAGAAGGAAGGAAAGAAGGAAGGAAAGAAGGAAGGAAGGACCAATTCGTAACCTGAGGAAAAACCGTTGAGAGTAGAAGCCCAGCAGGACTCTGCCAAAAGGAGAACCAGCTGCTAAGGCTTACTGTCTTTCAAAGGAATTGTGCTTTGATGAGCAAAGGAGTGAAAGCCCAACGAAACTGGATACTCACTCGGTTGGGCATGCCTAGTAGTACCTAAGTTGTTTACCAGGCTAGGTAATAGGATCTCAAATGAGAAAGCCAAAGTTCCCTAAATGAGCCTCACTGAGCTCCTTCATTCCCCTATATCCTAGACTACAGAAAAGATTGAAAAGAGAACCCCATACTCAAACTGTAGCTTTGAAAAAGGAGAACTGGTCATAAGTAAGGTGGAAAGGGTATAAGAATTCATTCACACTGTGAGAACAGAGCTGTCCATATTAAGATGAAAAGCAATGCTTTGGCTACTATGGAAACATAAATAGTCACACAAAAGGATAAAGGAAAAACACATTAAGAAAGTAGAAAACAAAGGATATAGACAGATTGTCCACAAGTATCTATATATAGTTAAAAACTACTAAGAATGAACTCAATAAAACAAGAAAAGCTTGGAAATGAGATACACATAATGAGACGAAAACAGATTACAGAGATAAACAAAACAGAAAAACCCCACTCAATAGATATAATTTGAAATAGCAAGGAATTTCCAGAATTGCAAAATTTAAATAATTTATTTCTTCAATTTCAGATATACTAAATTTGTATAGGCAGAGTATGGTGATTTTGAGCTTGGCCTCTGAAGCCAGATTGCTGGGATCGAAATCATAGCTCTGTCCCATACAAACTGTGTGACTTGGGACAAGGTCCTTCACCTAGAGCACAAAGAATTTGGTAAAGATTAAATGAGCTCATAGCCAAGACCTGAAAACAGCCCAATTGCCCATTAGTAAATGAGTGGATAAAAAAGTTGCGGTACATTTACAGTTACAGGGGTGGGGAACATCCAACCTGCAGGCACAAGGCCCGCAAATCAATACCAGCTAATATCACACACCTCACCAAATTAGCCTGACCAAATATAGCAGGCTAACTTTTAAGCTGATCATTTTATATGGCCCCCGAATAATGTTATAAATATCCAAACGGCCCTTGGCAGAAAAAAGGTCCCCCACCCCTGACATAATGAAATACTAATCAGCCATTTAAAAAAAAATGGAAATCTTACCTTTTCCAACAGCATGGATGGACCTGGAGACTACTATGCTAAGTGAAATAAACCAGTCAGAGCAAGACAACACCACATAATCTCACTTATATGTGGAATCTAATAAACAAAATAAACTGATGAACAAAATAGAAAGATAGGCATGGATACATGGAACAGACTGACAGCTGTTGGAGCTAGATGAAAGAAAGTAAAGGGATTATGCATTTATATAAAGAGACATACATAAAAAACACATAGACATAGACAATAGTGTGGTATTAGAGGAATAGGAGGTCAGGGAGTTGGTGGAGGTGGGCAAAGGTGGGCAAAATGGGGATGAAAAGAGACTTTGCTTGGGGTGATGGGCACATGATGCAGTGTGCAGATGGTGTTTTTGTTGAGTTGTACACTTGAAACCTGCATGGTTTTGTGAACCAATGTCACCTCAATAAATTCTATTTATAAAAAGAAAGAAAATTACATGAGCTGATTCACATAAAGTACTCAGAACAAGGCCAGGCACAGAATAGGAGTTCAGTATTAGATATCTA